AGTTAGATCTGCAACGTCGTTTGAACAATCTGTCTAAGCAAGGGAAAACAATGACTCAATACTTGTCTGATGCTAAAGTTATCTGTGACCAACTTGATTCAATCGGGTGTCCTCTCACTGATCAAGAGAAAATTTATGGGGTCTTATACGGGTTAGGTCAGGAATATGAAACTATATCTACCTATCTTGAAAACTCCATGGATCAGTTTCCTGGACCAAATTTTGAAGAGGCTGGTTACCGCTTGATTAACTTTGATGATAAGATCCAAGGCTATAACTCTGCTGCTGTAACTCCTCATCTTGCGTTTGCTACTGAAAGCCACTCTTACAACCAAGGAAGAGGTCAGGGTTATGGTCGCTCTGGCTCTCGAGGGAAAGGTCGTGGTTACTCTACTAGGGGCAGAGGGTTTCATCAGCAGATCAACCAGTCCTCTGATTCAAGTTCTGAAAGACCAACTTGTCAAATATGTGGTAAATACGGTCATTCAGCCTTCAAATGTTACAAGAGATTTGATCATGCTTACCAGATAGATGACTTTCATCAAGCCATGGCTACAATGAAGATCTCTGATCAGTCTTCAGGGCATGAATGGGTGCCAGACTCTGCTGCAACAGCTCATATTACCAATTCAACTGCTCAACTTCAGAACACACAACATTACAGAGGAGATGATGCTGTTGTTGTTGGTAATGGTGACTTCCTTCCGATTACACACATTGGTTCTATAGCTCTTCCCACCATGCAAGGTACTACCTTACCTTTAAACGATGTCCTAGTTTGTCCTGAAATAACAAAGTCCCTGCTGTCTGTCTCAAAACTCACGGCTGACTATCCTTGTTCTTTCACCTTTGATTCTGATGGTGTCATTGTCAAGGACAAACGGACCAAACAGCTCCTCACGCGAGGAAGCAGAACTAAGGACCTATATGTGTTAGAGAATCCTCAGTTTGCTGCATACTACTCATCAAGACAACAATCAACAACAGATGGGATTTGGCATCAGCGGCTGGGGCATCCTCACCAGAATGTTTTGCAGCAACTAGCTATCAATAAAGCTATAATAATGAATAAGACAAGTTCTTCTCTTTGTGATGCTTGTCAGTTGGGAAAAACTTGTAAACTTCCTTATTCTGCATCAGACTTTGTCTCCAGTAGGCCTTTAGAACGCATCCACTGTGATTTATGGGGGCCAGCTCATGTTGTTTCTTCACAGGGTTTTCGATACTATGTCATTTTTATTGACAATTTTTCAAGGTTTACTTGGTTTTATCCATTAAAGCTCAAGTCTGAGTTCTACTCTACTTTCATTTTGTTTCAACAAATGGTGGAGAATCTTTTTATGCAGAAAATTGCTAACTTTTAGTGTGATGGAGGAGGTGAATTCATTAGCACAAAGTTTCAGAGTCATCTCTCACAATGTGGCATCAAACAGCTCATCTCCTGTCCTCATACTCCACAGCAGAACGGTCTTGCTGAAAGAAAGCATCGCCATATCACTGAACTTGGTCTTTCAATGATGTTTCAGAGTAAAGTTCCTCAATACTTGTGGGTAGAGGCTTTCTTTACTGCATCATTCTTGGGAAATCTCCTACCTTCCTCAGTCTTACCAAACAACAAGAGTCCTTATGAACTTCTAATGGGTAAAGCTCCTACTTATACCTCTTTAAGAGTTTTTGGCTCAGCTTGCTATCCTTACTTAAGGCCATACTCAGCTAACAAATTTGATCCAAGATCTCTGTTATGTGTCTTCTTGGGATACAATGAGAAATATAAGGGGTATAGGTGTCTCTATCCTCCAACTGGCAGGGTCTATATATGCAGACATGCTCTCTTTGATGAACTTCACTTCCCTTTTCAAAAAGAGTATGCTTCCTTTATTTCACCAACAACTTCTTCTCCTCTCTTGACTGCTTGGCAACAAAGTTTTCTGCAGTCTCCTCAACACAGTACTATCACTCCTCCTCAAAACTCAAATGTAAGTGCTCCGGTGACTGCAGTGGTACAGGAATGTCCTGAGCGTACGACAGCCTTTGATGCTGCTTCTATTGGCGACAGCGTTTCTATACCTACTGCTAGTTCTCCTCAGCACATACCATCAGAGACTCCTAGCTCTCCGACTACACCTCACTCAACATCATCCTCAGCTACACCTGCAATAACTCCATCATCAATATTTTCAGAAGAAGACTTCCCTCCTCTGGTTAGTTCTCCAAGTGTTCAAGCTTCTCCTAATGTTCAAGTTTCTGCATCAGAAAACAGTCACTCTATGGTTACTAGAGCTAAGGATGGGATTCGCAAACCTAATCCTAGATATGCTCTACATACTGTCAAGAGTAATTATCCAGAACCAAAGACAGTAAAAACTGCTCTCAAGGATCCCGGATGGAAAGGTGCTATGACAGAAGAAGTAGACACTATGCATGAGACAGAAACATGGGATCTTGTTCCACCAGAAGAAGAAATTCAACCATTGGGTTGTAAATGGGTCTTTAAGACTAAGTTGTGTGCAGATGGTGCCCTGGATAAACTCAAGGCTCGCTTAGTAGCAAAGGGATATGAACAAGAAGAGGGTGTTGATTTCATTGAGACTTATAGCCCTGTGGTTAGAACAGCTACAATCAGAACAATCCTACACAGAGCAACAATAAATAAGTGGGACATTAAGCAACTTGATGTCAAGAATGCTTTTTTACATGGGGATTTAAAAGAAACAGTTTACATGGTGCAGCCTCCAGGCTTTGAGGATCCAAGCAAGCCTGATTACATATGCAAGCTAAAGAAAGCTATTTACGGTCTTAAGCAAGCTCCACGCGCCTGGTTTGACAAGTTTAGCTCTTTTCTTATAGAGTTTGGCTTCACCTGCAGTTATCCAGATCCCTCCTTATTCGTGTATATCAAAGGAAGTGATGTGATGTACTTACTCCTCTATGTTGACGATATGCTACTCACTGGAAACAACACAAAGCTTATCAGTCAACTTTTGGCCAGTCTAAGTACCATCTTCAGAATGAAGGATATGGGTCCCTTACACTACTTTCTGGGAGTCCAGGCTCATTTTCATGACAAAGGTCTGTTTCTCAACCAAGAAAAATATGCTACAGATCTTCTTATATCAGCAGGAATGGCGGATTGTGCTCCTATGCCAACTCCCTTACCTCTGCAACCCGGGAAATTCTCAGAACAGTCTAAACCCTTCTCAGACCCGACTTACTTTAGAAGTTTGGCAGGTAAACTTCAATATCTTACTCTGACAAGGCCTGACATTCAATTCTCTGTCAATTTCGTGTGCCAAAAGATGCATGCTCCATCAGAGGATGATTTCAACTTGCTCAAGCGGATACTTCGCTATGTTAAAGGGACTCTGCAAATGGGAATAAATCTCTCCAATTCCACGGATTCAGTTCTCCGTGTGTATAGTGATAGTGACTGGTCGGGATGCAAGGATACTAGTCGCAGCACAGGAGGATTCTGTACCTTTCTCGGAGAAAATATCATCTCTTGGTCATCAAAACGCCACTCCACAGTATCTCACTCATCAACAGAAGCAGAATACCGCACCATGTCGCTTGCTTCTCGAGAAATCATGTGGCTCAACTCTCTTCTTCGGGAAACTGGAGTTGCACAACCTGTTACTCCAGAGATGTATTGTGACAACCTGTCTGCAGTCCATCTTACCGCAAACCCTGCTCTCCACTCAAAATCAAAACATTTTGCAAGAGATTTTCATCATGTGCGAGAACAGGTTGCTCTAGGTGCTCTTATTGTGAAGCACATTCCGGCGCCTCTCCAGCTTGCTGATATTTTCACCAAATCCCTACCACAACAGGCATTCTTCGTCCTTCGTTTCAAACTTGGACTTTGCTTACCACCGACGCCAAGTTTGCGGGGGAGTATAAGCAGTGAAGACTCAACAAATGGGCCTAAAGTCGAAGCCCATCAGAGAACAGAGGCTGCAATGCTGATTCAAAAGAAGCCCAGCAACATGGTCTCTGCTTCAGTCAAAAGCAGAGTATCACGCCATTGTCGTGAAGCGAGTACGAACGAGCAACGTCACAAAATCAACCTGAGAAACAGTTTTGGCGTTCTCGGATCGTGTGCTGTCATGTGCAACTAGCCTGACACGCGTCATCTTTTCTATGATTACTTTCTTCTTTATATATCAAAACCCTTGTATGAGATAATTAAGTTGAATGAGAAAGTTTATCTTCTTCCATCTTCTTCAAGCTTTCCTTAAGGTTTTGTGAAAGCGTTCATGGTATCAGAGCCATGGATGGCTCTATTACTCCTTTTTCTCATTCCGTTATGAACATCTCTCATTGTGTCACTCTTAAGCTCTCTGAAACAAACTACTTGCTATGGAAAACGCAGTTCGAGTCTTTTCTCTCAAGTCAGATGCTTTTGTGAAAGCGTTCATAGTAAAGGCTTTCCCATTAATCCAGGATTTTTAAAAAATTGGTTTAGCAAAGACCAGAAATCTTTTTGGTTAAAAGCTTAACCACGATGTAACCACCGTGATCAATTTTAGACTGGTTTGGTTTAAAATGTTATTAATTTTTTTATGATTTTATTAATTTTTCTTATACCTTTGAATAGTTTATTGATCGATAGTCATTAAGAATTGCTACTACTGAATGTTTTTAACAGCCCAGAATAAACATGATTTAATCGTGAAAACATGATTTGATCGATATTCATTATGAAGTGCTACTATTTGATCAAATCATGTTTTCCTTATAGACTGTTAAAATCATTTTTTGAGTTAAAAAAAAAAAAAGAAAGACTTTGAACATTTCATGTAATATTTCTGTTTTGTTGCTTATTATCAAGATTTCAAATCTTGAATCGTTTTTTGGATGGGGTCGTATTTAAGATTATTTATCACTATTACTAGTCAAACTTCAAGAAAGTGACAAAGCAAGAGACACACCATTTATAGCAAAGGTTGAGTAGTGTCTCAATCAGAAATTCAATTATCAAACGAATTGTATAAATCTGGTAATAAAAGCTTTGTGGGGATACAAGACATATGTTCTGTCACATATGTTATGGACCATAAGATTTTGGAATTATTGATAGTCGACAAAATTTAAGATCTTAAACTTTGAAGAAAGAAGTAAAGAATAAATCTGGTAAAAATCTTATGGTCCATACAGCTTTATTATAGAACATTCACCGATTTGTGACCGAACATGAACAAATGACTCATGAAGACTAAAAAAAATAAAAAAAAATAACCAAAGACTAAATAAGCTGCACGGGCTGGATTATGTGACAGAACATATGTCTTGTATCCCCACAAAGCTTTTATTACCAGCTGATGATTTGTTAGCAGATTCTTACTCTTGGTGCGTGGGAAATATATGTAATGGCTTCTCCGCTGCAAGTACCTGGGAAGTTTTGAGGCCAAGAGATTCTCTAAAAGAGTGGTCTAGCTCAATCTGGTTCAAAGGAGCTGTGCCAAAGCATGCTTTCACCATGTGGGTGTGCCATCTAAATAGGCTGCCAACTCGTCAGAGGCTAGCTGCTTGGGGACAGATTCAATCCTCGGAATGCTGCCTTTGCACTATTGAAACTGAGGCCAGAGATCACCTTTTTCTCGCTTGTGAGTTCTCTTCCCAGATTTGGAAACTAGTTTTCAATCGTTTATGCCCCCGACAAAGGCTGTTCTGCTTATGGGCTGAGCTCCTCTCCTGGACTCGGCAGTCTTCTTCCTCCGCGCCTTCTTTGCTCAGAAAGGTAGTCGCTCAGGTTTTGGTCTACAGCATTTGGCGTCAGCGGAACAATGTCCTCCACAACTCTCAGCGGCTTGCTCCGCATCTTATCTTCAAGTTGCTCGATCGTGAGCTGCGCAATATCATCACTTCTAGACGGCGAAAGAAGCGTTGGCGCAACTTAATGCTTCTTTGGATTCGTTAGCTGCTCTTTTTTTTTCCTTCCATTATTGTAGCCTTGTTTTATTTTTTTGCCTTGGCTGCTCTTCTTTAGGTTTTATCTTTGTAAACCTTTAATTTCATTTATATGATATTTACATGATTAGTAAAAAAAAAAAAGTAAAGAATAGAAGCTTTATGTGCCTTTGTGGACAATAGTTTCAAATTTTGATTGGTCAAATTCTGTCATTCCACATGTTTTTGTCGGTAACGTAAGAATTATGCTGTGTTTTATTTGATCAAATTCCTTATAGACTGTCAAATATATTCACAGTCTCACTATTTTGCGGTGTGATCGTTCAAAGATAAAATATTTGACAATTATTTTTTGTGTGGATTATTTCGAAAAGACGTCTCAGATACACAAGGACCCTTACCTATTTGACGTTTGAACCACAGTACTCCATAAACTTTTCGGTGGATCATATTATTCTTCGTCTCTTTTGATTACGTATAAGAATGTTAAACATGAAAGAAACTAGATCTATATATGAATCAGAAATGTCCTTGAAGTAGTTCTAGGGTTGATTTCTTGAGCAAGAAGAAACTGATTATCTTCATGTCTAGAAAGAAGGAGCTTCTGTCCTCAGCTATGGAGAGAACTAGTGAATGGTTTTGTTTCTCACTCTGTTCCTATATTTTTTTCTCAAACCTTTTATATTTTTCACTTCCTATGTTTGTGATTACGAAATTAGTCGAATCATATTTTTTTTTCATAATAAATTTCAGGATTTCTTCTCAAAAAATTCCTAGTGACGTCACTGTTCATGTTGGAGAAACTTCGTTTTCACTCCACAAGGTGATTTGTTTTTTCAAGATCTACTAATTATACACAATGAGATCACTTTTTCTTATACATAGTCTCTGTGATAATCTGCAGTTTCCACTTGTTTCAAAATGTGGGTTTATAAAGAAACTTGCTTCCAAATCAAGCAACGATTCGAACATTACCGTTATTAAACTCCCGGATTTTCCCGGAGGTGCAGAGGCATTTGAGCTAGCAATCAAGTTCTGCTACGACATAAGCTTCGAGATAAACACAGAGAACATTGCGATGCTACGTTGTGCAGCAGAGTATCTAGAGATGACAGAGGAACACTCTGTTGAAAACCTAGTGGAGACAATAGAGGTTTACCTAAACGAAGTGGTCCTCAAGAGTTTATCGAAATCGGTTAAAGTTCTGCGAAAATCTCAAGATTTGTTGCCTATAGCCGAGAGAGTGAGACTCGTGGACCGGTGTATCGATTCAATTGCTTATGGAGTTTGTCAGGAGAGCCAGAGCAATGAGGACATAGTTGACTGGTGGCCTGAGGATTTAGCTGTTCTAAGAATTGATATGTTTCGACGTGTCTTGGTCGCGATGATTGCTAGAGGTTTTAAGAGATACTCACTTGGTCCACTACTTATGCTCTATACCCAAAAAGCTCTTAGAGGGTTGGTGAGATTCTTGATTTTTTAAGAGAACAATGTGTTTGCTTACTTTAGAGAATAATGTAATGTCGGTTTCTTTATGTGAAATGCAGGACATTTTTGAGAAAGAGGCAAAGAAGATGGAGGCGGAACAAGAACATGAGAAAAGGTTGATTCTTGAAACAATTGTGAGTCTTCTTCCGAGGGAGAGAAACTCAGTGTCAGTTAGCTTTCTTTCAATACTTTTAAGAGCTGCGATATACCTCGAAACCACGATAGCTTGTAGGCTTGATTTGGAGAAGAGAATTGGATTGCAATTAAGACAAGCCGTGATTGATGATCTCTTGATTCCTTCTTACTCATTCAGTGGAGACAACACAATGTTTGATGTTGACACTGTTCAACGCATCCTCATGAACTATCTTGAGTTTGAAGTTGAAGGAAACTCTGCTGACTTTGCTAGTGATATTGGTGAATTGATGGAGAGTTATCTGGCTGAAATCGCTTCTGATAAAAACATAAACTTGGCGAAGTTCATCAGTTTTGCTGAATGCATTCCAAAACAGTCTCGGGTTACTGAAGATGGGATGTATCGAGCCATAGACATTTACCTCAAGGTATACATCTTTAACATTTTCAAAATGTTCTGACCTATATCTTGAAAAGTTTAAAGATCTTAGAAAATGTTGTTTAATATTGTTGGTGCAGGCACATCCGAATATAAGTGAAATGGAGAAGAAGAAAGTTTGCAGCTTAATGGACTATCAAAAGATATCGCGAGAAGTGTATGCTCACGCAGCTCAAAATGATCGTCTCCCTGAAATTTTAAGCGATTCCGATTCTCCAGCAGCAGAAACCGCAGAAGAAACTATTCATCCTCCTGAGCTCAGCTCCTACAATAATGAACTCTCCAAACTAAACCGGGAAAACCAATACTTGAAGCTTGAGTTGCTCAAAGTGAAAATGAAGTTCAAGGAGTTTGAGAAGGAGAAAGCTTTTGAAGTCATGAGTGGTTCGGATTGTTCTTCTTCGGTTTCAACTGCTTCGGTTGTTAAGCCTCGATTACCAAGAAAGTCATTTATAAGCTCTGTTTCTCAAAAACTCGGAAAGCTTAACCCTTTTGGCCTCAAACAAAGACAAACCAAACAACCTAACAGCCGAAGACACTCTATATCTTGAACAATACATGAACACTTGTTCTTGTTTGGAAATTTTCAATTTCTAGTCAATGATGTTTCTTTGCTTTGATTGTATAGAGAGCTGAGAATATCTTTTGAATTTCCCTGTTGAGTATATATAATCCTAAAGTCATATATAGAGCATTTCTCATAAAACTATTTCAAGGCAAATACTAAGATGTTATTAATTAAATTTGCCCAAAAAAAAAAAAAAAAAAAGATGTTATTAAATAGAGATTAAGCTTGGAAAATAAGAAATAGTTCGATCCAAATGATATTCTCTAGAATATAAACAATAAGAGTTTACTCTAGTATCGTGTACCTCTAAACCTGGACCCATACCTGAGTTGTCATGAAGTATTATTTTCTTTTCTTCTAAAAGTGTGACCGGTGTTATGGGAAAAGTCAGTTTACCAAGCCAGAAAGAAGCAATGTCTAGATTTAAAGTTTTAAACTATGTGTTTTGTGAATTCAATATTTAACTAAATACTAACATTTTATAGGCCAATTTATAGAAAAACAACTTTTTTTGGGACAAACTTATAGAAAAACAACTTTTTGTTAAAAGAAATTTAAGTATGCAAATTTTATGAATGACTTGGCGAGAAAGAAACACAAGAAGAGTAATTTTCTAGAATCGTTAAATTACTAATTAATTTATGTGTTATTCATTTTAACAGATTTAGAAATCCAAGCAAAATCATGTGTTATTCAATAATTGGTTTTAAAATCTTTATCAAAATCATGTGTTATTGGTTCAATCATTTATAAAAATACTAATTAAAATCCTATCATTTTTTGTTGGATTTCAAGATCCATGTTAGATTTTAATGGATTTAGATGTGAAAGATACAAAGACTCAAATCTTTGGATAAATAATGTTATTTCAAATTCATATATCTGATTTTAAAATAATAAAATTTTTAAAATATCAATAGGTTTATAAATCAATTAAAATGCATTAAACAATAAAAATTCTTTAGACTTTAGTGTTTTTTTGTTTTTTTGTCAACACAAGTTCTTAGACTTTAGTTACCGCAGATCTTTTAATAATTATTGGTTTGACATGAACCAAGTTGTCAACCCAAACAAGGAGCGTGGGTTGCACAATCTTCTCATAATTGTTATTAAAAGAAAAATGTCATTGCCTTCTTTTTTTAATGGCGTTTCTTTAATCATTGCAAGGCGTGTTAGAGTAAAGATCCAAATTCTATGTATGGTTTTGAGTCATCTTGCACAAACTTTAAATAACAAATACAAATTTAAGATGAGCTAAGTTCGCTTTCTCTCTGTCGATCGAATTACCTATTTCTATGCTCATCGATCCTAAAAATCCATTTCGAACACATATACCAATATATCACATGATTGTATGATAAAAATATAAATCTATTTGATAAATTAGCTGTCTACATAGGATATACACATGATAGGGGACAAAATTAGGTGTTATATATGCACAAATGAAGTGATAATCGTAAAAAATGTCTTAAACCTCCATTAGATAAATTAAAAAAGAAAACCCACATAAAAACTAACATAATAAGATTAAAAAATCATATGACAGTTAAATGAAAGTTAATATTTTCGAAAACAATTTTTTGTTATTTTCTTTATTTATGGTATATTCATTAACATGTACTACTACTATTGTTCTTATTTTTCATTACATGCTCTCACAAACTTTCATATAACGACGTGCAATCCACATGTCCACTTTTAGTATTTGTAATCCACTTTTACTTTCTTCCTTTTTGTTTCGACGATCCATTTTTTTTATATTTTGTTGTCGGCAATCCAGATATACCTTTTAGTCTTTTACAACAGATAATTACATATTCATACAATTAATCATACAAGTACACGATTAATTAACTGAGGCAAAATTAGCAATTGGAATTTGGATATTGGTCACTTATGTATATGTTTCATTCTCAATTAAGAACTCTTCGGTGATTACCCACTCTTGTAAGAATTTGTTTAAAGAAGTAATATAATTAATTACATCATGCTAACAAGTATAAATGTAATGAACAAGGTAGGCCTGGTGCGGCGGTTAACCAAAAATCGAATAAAAGCCTAACCTAAAACAAATGGATCTTCTTTAATAATGTGTTATATTCTTCAAGCCCATCATTATATAAACCATGTATCGTGCAACTTTTACCATCATCATTTCAAAGCATTTCTTCTTCTTGTCTTGGCTCAATTTATATACAACACACTCTCTCTCTCTCTCTCTCTCTCTCTCTCTCTCTCTCTCTCTCTCTCTCTCTCTCTCTCTCTCTCGGTTTTGTCCAAACAATGGCTCGCTTCGGCATTGTTCTAGTCATATCTCTTTGCCTCACAATCTCTGTCTTGCCCGATACAACCATCGCGCAGCTAAGCCGCGGTTTCTACTCCAAAACTTGCCCCAATGTCGAACAAATCGTGAGAAATGCTGTCCAAAAGAAAATAAAGCAGACGTTCGTCACCGTCCCTGCCACTCTCCGTCTCTTCTTCCACGACTGCTTTGTCAATGTATGTTTCTATTTAAGCGTTTTCATATCTTTTTTTCTCCTCTTTCGTTAGGCGATTAATTGGTTTCTTAGTTCGACCTTCGATGTGATTGGCATTGTAGGGTTGTGATGCATCTGTCATGATCCAATCAACGCCTACGAACAAGGCAGAGAGGGATCATCCAGATAACATTTCGCTGGCCGGAGATGGATTTGACGTGGTGATCCAAGCTAAGAAAGCCCTTGACGCTAACCCTCGTTGCCAAAACAAGGTCTCATGTGCCGATATTCTTACTTTGGCCACCCGAGATGTCGTTGTTGCGGTGAGTATTTGTACTATATATATCCTTTCTATAACCAGATAATCCCAAAGCCAATATTCTTATCACTCTTCATAGTCTACCAATACTATATGTAAGAAAATAGTACATCGCTTTTGTTCAAAAATAAATAAATAGTACATCGCAATGCTTGTTGAGAAATGTTATAATATGAACCAAGGTTTTACGCATGTATAGGCTGGAGGGCCGTCCTATGAAGTTGAACTTGGTAGGTTCGATGGTTTGGTATCAACCGCGTCTAGTGTCGAAGGGAACTTACCAGGACCTTCGGACAATGTAGACAAACTTAACGCTCTTTTCAAGAAAAACAAACTTACCCAAGAAGATATGATTGCTCTTTCAGGTAAACCAAATTTAAAAACAAAACATGGTATATATATTTATATCACCAAAGTGCATCGATTTCTAAACCGTTAGATTCATAATGTAGCGGCTCACACCCTTGGATTCGCACATTGCCGCAAGGTCTTTAAAAGAATCTACAACTTCAACGGCATCAACTCCGTGGATCCATCTCTAAACAAGGCTTACGCTATTGAGCTTCAAAAGGCTTGTCCTAAGAATGTGGACCCAAGAATTGCAATCAACATGGACCCAGTCACGCCCAAGACGTTTGACAACACTTACTTCAAGAATCTTCAACAAGGCAAAGGTCTCTTCACCTCCGATCAAGTTCTCTTCACGGATGGTCGCTCTAGGCCCACCGTTAATGCTTGGGCCTCAAACTCTACGGCCTTCAACCGCGCTTTTGTGACCGCCATGACCAAACTTGGCCGTGTTGGTGTTAAGAATAGCCGCAATGGAAACATTCGTCGTGACTGTGGTGCGTTTAACTAGAGATCATGTTGATGATGGGAATATATAAGTTATCTTATATAATTCAACTATTTTTATTTTCGTTTGATTAATGTTTGAAGTTCATTTTGACAATGAGAAGATATTGCTTTTTCATTTGTTCTGTTTATGTCTTTACTTTTACTAGAACCGACAAATGTTCTAGTAGTCACAAGCGATGTTGATTTCATTTTTGGTGTTGACATGTTGAAAGATAACGGTTTTAGTGTTATTATCCTAGGCAATAAAAAAAAAAAAAAGAAATCCCTGAGGAGCTTAAAAGCGTATCAGCACCTTTCAACGTAGATGGTCTAACATAATAAAATTTTAAATGTTGTCTTTTATATCAAAATGTTTTGTTGAATATATTTATATAACTATATTTATAATTATTTAGAAAACTGAAAAATTGTGTCTACTCATTATAACTATTCGTTTAATATTTTTTACTTAGTATTTTTTCATTTCTTAATAATATTATAAATCTTAGTAAATGCTTAACACTAAACGCTAACATTATATCATGATCGATACGATCTATGTTTCCGAATGCATTTATTGATGATATTGGTCCTCATAACCCTTTTCATTAAGTGATTTTATAAGGTTTCCCACCAGTCAGTAGGGGTCGAAGCCTTCAGGAAGTCTGCAGCTGTCCACGTCCCACCAAACTGCGGTTCTGGCGGTGCTGAAATCAGGCTAAAAACAAAACATGCGTCAGTCAAGGGAGAAAAAACAGAGGGGCTAAAATATTATAAACCTACAAAGGCCTAGGCCTAAAATAAAATTAACATGTTTACCTGTGGTGGGCAACTAGGTAGTCTGACAGGATCAATATCATTTACATATTGAGGCCCAATAGTATCATTTGGAGCAGTTGAATCCGTAACTTTAATTTTATATTAAAAAAAAAAAAACTAAAGCCCATGATAGTCAAACGCCCATGAGATCATTTTGGCAAGCATCGCTTTATCCCGTGGCTGTAACGTCTTCATGTGTTAGAAAACATAAAACTGATCAGTAATTAGAAGCAAACGATGAGTGTAATCATAGGTTTTATACCGGCTTTGACTTTATGTAACTTGAGACTCTATTCGTTGAGGTCATTTGATTGCTTATATGTAATCTTTGATACTGCACCTCCAAATCCCTTTTCAGCTATTGCGCTTTTGAAATTGGCTTTAACGTCAGAGATATCAGTAGTTATGGTTATGTCAAATTTTTCAAAATCGATAAAAGAAAAAGTTTTGGCAGTGTTTGTTTCCATATGAGATCCTGTTGTTGATTGAGCGAATTTCGCGCAAATGATTAATACAGCTCCTACTGAGAATCTGATCCAACAAAAAAGCAAGGTACACATTCTAAGAATAGTATGGAAACATAGCCAAAGAAACTAATCTTACATGAGAATTTGAAAAATTAATAAATAACCAAAATTGGTAGTTATTTAAGAAAAAATATAATGATATAGATATTAAAATATATATATATATATATATGAATGCAAAATGACGAAAGAATGAACCTTTATATGAAAATATCAAACAAACGTGATAATAAATATACACAATTATTTGTAAAAGGACACAATTATTAAAATGAAGAATTTCTGATGAAAAAACATGAATACAACAAGGTGAAAATATCAACTCTAAATAGACTTTTTTTTTTTTTTGGACCAATATCAACTCTAAATAGACATATATACTTTTATTAATGTTCACAAAAATCTCCTATAAAAGATAAATATCGGTTCATCCAATATACTAAAAATTATATAATCACCAAATATAAAGGGCAAATATCTCTACTTTGTATCTCCAGCGTGTTTTCATATCCTTGTTTTTCAAGTCATATAATCGCAATTATCAATAAACATTTTATCCTCGTACAATTTTATACACTATTCTGTTTTTCCTGTTTTAATTGTTATCACTAAACGTCTAAACCTTTGTCCAAAAAAAAAAAAACGTCTAAACCTATATACAATAAAGATTATCTATGTAAACTGAAAATGACACTAGAATTAGAACGAAAAAAAGTTAAAAAAAATTATTACTAAAAACTGTAATTAGATCAGAAATCAAAGCAACGCTAATCTACTAGTATCCAATTAAAACGCTAATTAAATCACATCAACCCAATTTAAATAGGAACCCAAACGGTAGCAAACACAACACTATGACCTTTCCACGTCAGCACAAGACTCTCGTCGTCGTCTTCCGTCTTCATTCCCCACCCGACGGCGTGCTCCTCCAGCATCGCCTTCACATCAGCCACCGCCTCTTCCTTAACCCTAACTCCACCAAACTCAGCCTCTCTCATCCTCTCTATCCACCGTCTCTTCGTCTCCGTTCTCTCCACCCTCTCCGCACCTTCCTTCGCCACCACGTTTTCTATCTTCCAACTTATCTCCGCCTCGTACCACCGTCTTTGCTCGCTCATTAACGTGTCCGTCGTATCGAACGGGATCCAGAAGTAGTTAAACGCCGATTTTAACCGGTTAACCAAACCCTCCGATGTGAGATCTACGTCTTCTTCGATTAGGGTTACGATTCTTGGATTCAAAGATCGGAGTGTTTTCAAGAAAACTGTTCGGAGAGATGATGATGATGAAGTTAGGGTTTCTTCAGGGATATAACGGAGCATCATATGACAGTTGACGACGAGAGCTTCGTTGAATGAAGAAGGGTAAATACGTAATTGTTGGAGTAGAGAAGAGAAGCCATCGGAGTAAGTAGAAGGTATGATTGTGAACTCCATTGTTATGTTTCGTGTGGTGGCGAAGTTTACGAGTTTGGATCCGAGTTCTTCGTATGAGATGTTGATGAATGGTGGGAAGTCGTCGGAGGAAGAGACGACGGTGAGTTTAAGAAGCGGAGGAGGTTTGTTGAGTCGTCTTGCCATGGCGTCTATGAGAGTAGGAATTTGCATACAATGAGTCAAACTTAAGTCAACGATGTGAACCGTTGAGTAACCTTCCACGGCGGTTAAGATCGCAGCGTTGGCTGCAATGAATCCGAACCTGTGCCACGGAGTGAGGTCTACGAATGCAGCTAGCTCCACGACTGAGAACCGGTGGAGTTCATCGGCCGGAGGTAGGAAACTAATGGTGGATGATAGTGTAGGGGTTTTGGAGACGGCGCGTGAGAGCAACGCGCGGAGGAAGGCGGAGGTAAGTCGTTGTGTGGAGTCACCGTCTGATGGGGCGATGTTGTTGAGCACCCAGAGGATTTGGTGAGTCAATGCGGCGTCGTTGGAGTCTATGGCGGTAGCGCAGTGGAGGAGGAGCTGTTCCATGAAGTTAGCGTCGCCGCCGCCACGTAAGGGTTTGGGAGAAGGGAATCGGGTCGGGTTGAGAATCCGGGTTTTGGTCATTTGAGTCTTGTTTTAGAGAGAAATGTACGTTTAATCTTCTTATTTTTGTGACACAAGAGGAAGCAAAAAGAACAAAAAAAGAGTAGAGTAGGGTGGAGACAATGACATGTCCATAATTTTTACGTAAAAATATTCTGAAAAGTGGCAAATAGAGTGAAAGGAGACAAAGGAGAGGGATGAGGAAAGAAAGAGACGAGACAGTAGAGAGAGTCGTGTAAGTATGTGGTAACCTTATCATTGGGAAACGCATCGCTTCGGTCGCTTGTGTTGTGTAAGACAAATATTTGCAAGAACAGCTTTTTCAATGTATAGATGTGCATATATGCAATATGTATGTATGTTTCTATACATGTGCAATATGTCTTAAATAGCTAAAATAAGGAATCTATATATAGTTATGTCGAAGGGTGCATTTTATGCTCAATCTTGTAGTCTATGTGAACAATGTATTTAGAGATAACATTTTTAGTATTATTCACTCGAATTATAGTAACATAAATAAGAACAAGAAGTTGTTATTTTTGTTTTAGTTATAAACTATAAAGAAAGTATAAGTATGTGAAGGGGTGCTTAAAGGTGGGTGACATGTGAAGTGGCAGGTTTGTATTTATGTATGTGTGTACGGCCGAGTATTTTGTCATCTAGGTTACGATTATTCTCTTTCGCCGCGCTATCGCATTCATCAATAAAATCACTGCATGCACTTTGCAACAAAAATAAAATCTATACCCCCATGATTTTGGTCCGTTTGTATTTAGCATTTGGACGTTACTTATTTTATTAAACTCAAAATGTGTTGCCTTTGAGTCTTGAGATATAAAAAGAAGATTTATTGGGCTTATCTCTTGAGATATAACATTAGACTGACAAAATAAAAGTTATATAGCATGGACTAAACAATCAAACGGCTCCTCTGGGGGATATGAATAAATCTTCGGTTGATATTTAATATATGTATCGCATTTAATTATCAGTTTCTTTTTTTATGCCTTTGGTAGTAGAGTTCATTATGCATTGGGTACTTAATGCAGCACAATATGCAAGCGCTCACAACGCATGCTATTTTCAAGAAAATTGATCGAGAGATAAAGAAGTATCATCACCTCCAGAAGACATAGACGTTGGGCACATGCACATGGTCAAGTAATTCTGAAGCAAATTATGTTTGATTAATCGGGTTTGAATTTACCGTTTTCCATGCACTAGGGGAATTAGTTCTGACTAAGAATGCCCATGTATTTTTGATAATTTTTTTAAGTTGTTAATTTGGTTTATTTAAAGAAAAAACAAATCTTATACATATATATATATAGTCTTGTATATGTAACAGAGTATTAAACCGCTTCTATCTTAAATTTTTTAGTCAGTCCATTGTTGTTTATTTGCATAGCATAGTTACTTTACCTTTGCCTAATATCGGAGATAACGGATCTACGAAAAGTCTATTGGGCATTATCAAAATAATACAAAGTGAAAATTTCCGGCCCCATGATTTCAAGCCCATTTAAATTATTTATTTTTATTGGAAATTTGAAGTGTTACTAATTTTAAGCAGATAATATTACAATTAAAAACTATGTACAGTTGAAAAAGAAAAACAAGGAGAAGAAATATGGATCCTATGGGAAAAGAATGCAAGATCTATCTGCTCAGAATGTATAATTATCATCTTGATTACTCCTATAAAAAGAACCATAGAACTTGCACTCATTTTCCTGATTGGTCCAATTTACACTAAACATTGGAGACTGTGTATTTAACTGATTACTCAGCTCACTGACAATTGAGAAACTATATATTAATGGTTATTGAGTGGTGTTTACTAACGTTAGGTGAGCAAAATAAATATTTCAAACAAAACAAATTTTGTTAAATACCAAAGTATATATAGATATTCTATTTTCTTCAGGACTAATAAACTCTTGATATGTAAAAGATTTAGTCAAAGTTTCAGAAGGTATCGTAGGACCCAAAAGGTGAAAGAGTGGATAATATGTTCCAGCGATGAGGGAACCAGTCACGTGAAAGTCACGTGTCGCATCCATTACACGTCCTTGTCGCGATCTCTCCCAAATCTTCAACACTGATCCGAGCTCCTCCAAAGTCTCGTTCAAATTTACAAAACTACCCTTCACAAATGGATTATGATTACCAAAAGATGATCTTATAAGTGAGGTTAAAACTTGAATCAACCAGACATTAGAAGAATCAAAGACTAGAGTTATTATTATTTTTTTTTGTTAAACTCTTTTCTTTTTGCTTTAAGTAAAAGAATATCCTAATTAAGTGTAAATGAATGTACGGTCTACAAAAGATTTGAAGGGGCAAGATGGCTCTTAGGTCCTCTTCTTACTCGAAGTAGAATAACACAAAACCCTAAGAACGACAAAATGTAGACCAAGTCTTATGATTATCTAGATTAAAAACAAAAACAATTGTTAGAATAGTGATATTGATCCACAAGATCAATAAACTCTTGAAATAGCAATTAAAGCTACCTTGAGAAAAACTAAAGGCAAGAAACAAAAAATTGAGACGTCTTGTTTGAAGAGGTTCATATACAAAATCTCTCGGGATAATATTCGGGATATTAAATTACACAAGGATCATAAGTTTAAAAATGCTAATTAGTTATATCTTCCCCTAAAAGGAGTTGTACAAATTTATTTACCACTTTTGTATAGTAATGTGCAAAAAAAAAAAAAATATCATCTAGAATTATGTCCAGTTACATATCAAGATTTATGGTTTAAAGTGTGTTTACCTATTGATAAATTGTTTTTTGGTAGTTAATATTCAGCTAAATCCTAGTTATTATTGTCAAAAAGTTGTTGGAGTAATGGGTTAATATTATTTATCATAGATGGATATCCAAAAAAAGTCACTTAGTTTTTTTTTTTTTTTTTTTTGATAAAAATAAGGGGAATCCCAGACCTATGGAGGAGCCCAGACTAATCCCATGGGGGAGATGCAGTCCACAGATAGACTCTCTCTCCGGGTATGCAAATGGGCCGAAAGCAAGGGCCCATATCCATGTGGCCAAGTGGAGATCTAACAATTATACGCTTGCGGAGAATCGATCCCTGGCCTAAACCAACAGGGCAACTCCTCCACAAGTGGCAACCACTAGACCAAGAACTCTTGATTAAAAGTCACTTAGTTAATTATGTGTTTTATCCGGAATCAATACCATCATGAATACCAACTTGATTTTGATGTTCTTAATTAATTATATAGATTGACTAGTTTTCTTGTGATCATTTCATGTTCCTCGTTGTTTTTTTTTTTTTTTTTTTTTTTTCACCTTCATATTTTTTTTATTGATCACCATTTTTGTGGAATATGGAAAGAAATAAATGTTTCATAATAATCATGTGAGATTTGGGGTTTGATTTTTCAACATAATTATTCCTTACTAAATTAACTATTTTTACACTTATAAGTTATTATTAATAACTAAACTTTTGTTCGTATTCGAAAGAAAAGTTTAAGAAAACATCAAGTGGACTCACACCGACTTAAGTGGAGAAGGTGATGAAAGTATTGGGCCCATGAGAAACTGCGGCTGCTCGTGGCTTTTGGCATTAAACAAGAATCTTGCTAATGTTATTTTATTCTCATTTTACTTGATGGACTCATGTTTATCCACATTGTTATATTTTAGTATAATTAGCTCCATAGTTAATTCAGAAGTACAAAAAGAAACTTAGCTCCATAAAGATTGTAATTCATGTTTAGACACTAATTAGATGTAATAAACGGACACGATTGAACGCAGAAGGATGAAGTAAGCCCCACTTTCACGTCCCAAAATTCGAGAAGATCATTCATTAAAATCCTCAGATCGCGGAACACCAACTTTTAGTTTTGTATATGCCCTAAACAAATTGGTATCAAAAGAATAATTACACTCAACTATATATAGTTAATGTTTCTATATCTTATTAGAAAACCTATGCATCGAATAATTTTTCTTTGCCAACTATGAATCGAATTTAAGATGAGTAAAGCGTACCAGTTTCTTAAGTTTCCATATAGTAATTAGAACAAAAAAATCAAATGTTATATACTCATTTATAAAATTTATTTTTGTTTATGCAGAAACAGTAGTTAGATTTGTTTTGTGTAAGAACTCGTTATAGTTTCATGTTTAATTCTACTATATGAACTTTGTTCGTTTGGCCATTTAGCTATTCGATTTTTCTTTTGAACAGTGTGGTTGCGAAAAACTTATTTTAAACTCGAAATTAGTAGGGTGTTTTGCCCAAGTATAGATATCTGGGACACTTATTACAAATATTTTGTTAATGATAATCGGTTATTGAAAAAATTTGGAATGGTCGGAACTAAAATATATATATATATATATATATATATATATATATATATATATATATATATATATATATTTAAAATAAAATAAAGAGTCTCCGGTGGTCAGAAAAGGAAAGGAGAGTGACGTGGACCACAAGCATTTTGTTTGCCCACTGGTGGCTGGTCGAAAGTATATTTTTAATATGTCCCACTTCATAAGATCTTCAAATCACTTCTTCTGTTCCAACAACAATCCATTCTCATTTCAAAGTTTCAAAAGCAAACATGTTATTGGTCAATTTCATTGTTTCTACGCCATCATCCATAGAGCAACAAGACCTTGTTATTAGTTTTTTAATAAACAAAATGTGAAGAAGAATAGAAGAACAACAAAAAAAGAGTGCTTTTGAAGGTTCCACGAAGGTATGAAGAGTGACATAAACGGCTCTTTGCGTCGTCCAAAAGCCGCCTCTCCCAAAAGCTTTCCCTTTATAACCCTAACTTTTTTGTTCAATCCAACTACATTCATTATATAATACATATCTACTCTATATAGTTACACATATATTATGTAATGCACCTTGTTTAATCCTTTTTAGAGTTTGTATTCATGTGGAGAGTGTATGGTATATACTAATCTTAAACATTTTATTTCACATAGAAAGAAATACATGAAAATACATGCCATTGAGAGTGTTGCAAAGAAGACCGTTGCAGTAGCATAGGATAATTTGGGATATCACAAAAGATCATTCATCATCACATCTCGAGGAATACTATTATGTATACTATTAGGTATCATTAAACCATTGAATAACAAGTGTAGTATCGAAAGATAATAAACCTGGAGATAATTAATGCTAATATATATTTTTTTGGAGTAATCAAGATGATTATCAAAATAGCAAGTTGTGTATATTTGTGTGTATATTACAACATGTTGGTCCTTAAAGGATCGAAGTATGTTGGGTGCGAAGACTTGGCCGGTGCTTTGGATTTGGAAAGATGCGTATGCATTATGTATATGTTTACTTCAAATTCGCGGTAATTATTATTATTATTATTATTAGTTGAATATTTTGATAGAAACAAATAGCAAATTATTATTTATCGTACCATTATCTTTTAATTTGAATTCGATGCACGATGGGAATGATGATTATGACTAAAAATAGTACACTAGTACACCACCGACGAATTATCATTACAAGATATTCTCTATTACCTTGATTAATTTCTCATAATTAAAGAGAGAAACAAATGACGTAATTTGCCGGTGTATGCCACATTTCTCAAAATATCACTCCAAAAAAGGGCAAGAAAAGTTAATCGAAATTACACTTTTAACCCCGATAACAAAAACGACGCCGTTTAAGCGAAAAGGTTGAGCAACTTTGCCGTTTCTCCTCCTCCGCCGCGTACGTACCGATCACCGGCGTTGTTGTCTCGAAACGAAACCGTCGTGACAGACTCCTCCGAGTACATCGACGGTGTATCTTCCTTAAACGGCACCGTTTTAATCGGAAAAGTAGGAATCAGAGATAGATCGAGCTCCGACGATAACCGTTTCCGTTTCGGTGGAGAAGCCGTTGATCTGGATCTAGAGCTTGAGAATCGGCAGTGATGGTAAATATTACGGTCACCGGAATCATCATCTTTTCGTAGATTCAACATTTCCGTACAAATCTCAGAAGCTTCATCGGAAGTTGGTGACGGAAACCCGGCGAATCCACCGCCGTTAAGAAGCTCCGGTATCGGTTTCAAAGAACCACCACGAAGCACCGTCTCAACCGCCGCTTGACAAATATTCCAGTTCCCAGTCCACAACAATCCGACGGCTCCGTTCACCGGATTCACAGTTCTTCCACAAGCTTCGTAGAGCAAAGACTGAAACAAAGCTGTAAAAATACCAAAATACCCGTACCATCAGAAAAAACGACAACGTGTTTGAGAAATAGGTTAAAAGATCTGATTGAAATAGGTTAAAAGATCTGAAGAGGTTTTGTTTAAGTACCAGGGCATTGAGATTCCGGTACGGCGGAGATGAAAGACATGAGACCGGCACGGCCAAAGAACTTAGCAACGAAGACGGTGGCGTGGCCTTGAGCTTCAGGTGATTCGATCCATTGAATACATGGACGAAGGATGCAATTCTCACTGCAACCTTTTCGAAGAACTCGACAACCATTGCAACTCATAATTATCAGAAATTCTTTTAATATTAATGTTTCTCGTTGGTTTTGCTATAATCTTGGAGATTCAAGAACAAGATTTGCTTTTGGTACAAGAAAGAGAAAGAGAGAGAGAGTGGGACAAAGGGTTTCAATGTTTGGAAGAAGAAGGAGAGTTATGTAATATATATAGACATAGACATTGATACTTGAGTAAAGGAATGGGTCATGCTTTGAGATTTTATTTAATTTTAATAAAAATTGGATAATCAAAGTTTAAAGAGCCCTACCAAATTACAAAATAGAATGATTACTGCAAAATATATTTATTTATCATAATTTTATGCTATAGTTTATACCAAAGAAAATGATTTTTTTTTTGTGATGTAAGGTTTAATTATGAAAGTTAAAATGGTGTGTGGTTGTTGACTAGTTGGTGATGAGGAGAGAGAAAGAAAGAGATTCCAAGGTGATGGGTGCGAACGGCTCCGTGTCTCCGCGAATAGTTGTGCCTCCTCAACCATTGGTTCTTTTTTTCTTTTTAATTTCTTATTTCTATTCATTTTCATTTTTTTACTTATTTGTCTATAAATGTTTGCGTCATGCATGAACGATGTCGATCCCGATTATTTGATATGAAATTCCCAATTCTATCTGTCCAGTGTTTATTTGGTGACAAAATTTTGGAATCTTCATGTTTTTTCCTCTTTATTGATATATCTTTCTCAAACAAAAATTGGTGTTAGTAATACAGATTTTCAAGCACAAAATATTAATCATTTTATTAATTAGTCAAAATGGTGTCATGTTTTAGGTTCATTAGAAAATATAATGAGTAGATTACATAAAATATTAGTCAGATAGTAAAAGTTCGAATCATCACCTTCTATTTATATATAAAAAACATAAATTCTTTATTATCAGTCGAATAAGAAAAAGATTCTCACTTAGCAAAAAAAAAAAAAACATAGATTCTCAAATGAAATATCGCACTTAAATTTCAAAATTGATATAATTTATCCCATTTTCCCAACTTTGCAATTGCTACTATTTGTAGAAACTATATTAGCCTTTCTTAAACTATTCTCTATGATATTTAAAATATAATTAAATATGGTTCATCATTCATGCAGTACGTATACTTTGTAAACAATTTATTTATGAAACCAATGAAATTGTTTTGTTTAGGGTTAAGGCTAAGCTGACCCTTCAACGAAACAAATCCACCATCTGACCCTTAAATCAACCTTAAGGGTTTTGATATTTTAATATGGAAAATGTTTTAGAAGAAAGATAGAGGCGTTTTTGCCCACGATGCTGTATCACGTGTGTGACAAATTCAAACATTTTTTTTTCTCCTTACATTAGTAACAAAATCAAATATGATATGAACAAAAGATCTATATATAATATTAATCAAAGTGTCTTCTTGTACTTTCCAATAGCAATGCGGTGAAACGGCGCCGTTCATGGCTTACGTGGTGTGCTTACCTACACTCCAATTAGGCAAATTTCCACTGAATGCCGCCGTCTCTATATATTTCTTTATTCCCAATTACTTCACTCCATTAGTAATACTAATAGATAATGTGTTTGCACAAAAAGAAAAGTCATAAAGAATGCAGATATATCGTTGAACTTTTGGGTTCTAAAGTTCATTTGCTTAGACATTTGACTAGTCGATCCAAGTCACTTGAACGCGACAATTTCGATCAAGAACAACAAAATCTTAGCCGACAAATTAAATGGTGTTTAATCACTTTTAATATAGACTAACTAATAAATATTTTACAACAGTTTCCCTACCTTTAACCTTAATTATAACATTTTGATCTCAAAGTTTGAAAATAAATCTCTATTGTTGAGATGTTGTTTGATTGAGAAGAAATGGAAGAAATATAGGTTGCACAAATGGCATTCCTACTTACATTCATTGATTAAGCTAGCTAGATAACTGTGGGTTTTTGGACTTGTATTACATGAGTTTATGGACTTGTGTTGGGTTTTTCTTGTGCGCTTTAACATGTCCTCTTTGATTATCAAGTTTTTTTTTTTTTTTTTTTTAACAGCAATTTTGATTATCAAGTTCACGTTGAGTTTTTTTTTTCTCTGACAGCCGTGGACTTGTTGAGTTCTGAAAAAAGTAAATACTGGGCTATTAATATAATTGGGCTAATTTTTCTCAGCTATAAGAGAAGACACACTATGGGCTATTTCTTATGGTCCAAACAATAAATCTTTGGTACATTAATATTTAATAGTTAAACACCATTTGAATGGGACCATGCCAAAACTTGTTATTGGAACGTTCGAGTGCTTTAGGCCTTTAACACTTTTGTAAGGCCTTACTAGTTACTATTACAAGATATGTATATACTATGCCCACGAAAATTGTTGAAATTCTTAAGTTTCTAACAATAGGAAGACAATAGTCAATACTCAATAGTAAAAGAAGAATGACCAAAGCTTCACTACTAGCATTAGGTAATAGGTAAATTATGTAAGATGTAAGAGCTATGCATGACATATTTTTCGACTTATGTAAATTTCGTCTTATTTACTAAGACATTATTATGTCTTTTTTTCCCCTACACCATTTTTGATTTAGAAATTTTGTTTTTGTCATATCAAAGCCATATCCTAAATTAATTCCAGGAATTTTTAACTACCAGATACAACAATACAGTTATAAAGAATAAATAAAAGTCGAATTTTTTGTGTCACAAAAAAAAAAACAGTATTTGTCTTGTATATATACCGGCATTTAATTCAGAGAATACGCAATATCCATATTTTTCTCGGAATGCATAACTACTCTTTTTCTTATAAGATACATAAGAACTGGGATCGATTAGGACGTGTAAGATATTTTATGGCAACAAATTGTAATTAATTAATTATTAAAAGACTCGTAAATTAAACTCGTGAAAACGAAATAATACGGATTTATAAAATAATTTAAGCGTGGAGGGAAGTGTGAGTGCCAACCAATCAAGAAGACAAGACACTTAAGGATTAGCTTCGTTAGGTACTACTAACCGATCTATCACTACTTCAATAATTAATACTAACATAACCCAAAATTAATACTAGGTCTTCTATCAAATTATGTTTTTAAATAGAAAAATTATTAAACATTTCTAATCGAATAGTTCAAAATTCTTAGGAACAGATCACTTCAAGCTGGGAGTGAAAGATTCACAGAAGTGGTTCCTTTGCTTGCGGAAGTTGTAAATGAAAATAAAAAAATAATGGAAAAAAAATCAGAAGGAAATTTCCAAGAAATAGAACTTTCACTAATCCTTTTATTTGATTATAATCATTTCTTATAAAAATAAAAATAAAAATAAAAAATCCAAATATTCCCCCTTTTTTTGACTGTTTATAAACAAAAACCAACAACGAATAAACATTTGAAGATTTTTTTTCTCTCCGTATACGTAAACAAAAATTAAAATAATCCAAAGTCCACTCCAATCATTTTCATTACAGACTCAGCTAATGATCAATCACTTAGCTAAACCGATCGGTAAAAAAAATATAATAATCACAACACCGACTTTGTTTCTTCGCCGGAGAGTTGACTCTTTCCAAGTGTCTCATCACTAACTTGATCAGCCGGTAAATTCAGGTCAAACCTGTGGCTATTATCACCGTTACCGTTACCGTTACCACCGTCATAGTGACACCGTTTGTGACCACCCAATGCTTGACCAGAGGGAAACGACTTGAAACATATAGAGCAGTTATGAGTCTTCCCACTTTGACCAACTAAACCGTTACTAATATTTCCGTTATTAGTAACGGAACCGTTACTATTATTAGCATCGTCGTTATTAATACTAACCGGTTTCCGGTGACTTGTTTTGTGTCCACCTAACGCTTGATAAGACGGGAAAGATTTGCCACAGACGGAACACTTGTAATCTTTCTGATGATCGGACGGTGAAGAGTGATGATCGGAGGAGCCACGAGCGAGCATGAGGAGGCAAAGAGCGAGATACTCTTCTTCAGAAGGAGGGTTTGGTTGATCTATACGGTGACGTTTTGTACGTTTTCTTTTGGTCCATGATTCGAGGTTTTCGGGTTCGGTTTCATCGAGGCAGTGGAGGAAAGGAGGAGGAGCGGTGGTGGTGGTGGTGGAGGTGGGAGAATTGAGAGTCTCGAGAGCCATATGGTGGTGATCTTTGATTAGAGGATGATTGAGAGAGATGATTATAAAAAAAAAAAAAAAGAGAGAAAGAGAGAGTGAAGTGAGCTGGTGAGGGAGTGAGATGAGATGTGAGCACGTCTTTGTTTTAATTTTTTTTGGGTGATTAAGAGTGGGAACGTGGGCTCTAAGTGATCAAGTGGTGCTTCTTCTCTTATTTCTCCATATCCATTAATATCTCATCCTATTTTCATCTTTATTAATTTATATTTATTTATCTATATATAGCTAAGATGTAGAGTTCAACTAAAATCCATTCCGAATTTCCAATATATCAAAAAAAAAAAAAAAAACGAAAAAAAAAAAGCAAGTAGAACTTTCAAGTTAATTATACCGGTTATGTTGATGTAATTAAACCACTTATGATGAGAGATATACATATATACTTGTATAGTAATTTGATTGTAAGTTTGTAACTAATTCATTTAAATAAGCCCTTTGAATATTAATAAGAAATTGTTGTTTACTCTTCCACTCTCAAGCTCAAAAAGTTACCGATAAACCTAATTAAAAAAAAAACAAAATTCAAATCAAAATCGTATAAATCAATTTAGATCGAGGAGCCTAAATTTCGATGAATTTGATGTAGAATCAATGAAATAATTCCATGTATAATGAAATAGAGATGAAATTTGAATGATCTTTGATAATTTTTTATAAAATAAAGTACGTCAAAACCTGGAAAAAGAAAACTATATTTTCAGTGGCACCCTTTCTAATAACGAGTAATGTAAGAATGCCTATTTTAAAAACTATATGCTGTGGGGAAAATCATCTAACTATAAATGTATTAGAGTCTAACATCAAACTTTATTGAAAAGCCGAAAAAAGTAACACATTCACAAAGATGGAAACCTAAAGTACTTATCAAAGTTGTGCTAATTTTGTCGATAGGTACCAGTCCAAATCATGAGCAGCTGATCAGCTAATTCAATATCTTCTTCTTCTTTTTTTCCATTGGCAAGAATTTATTATCCGAATTGTCAATTTTAAAATACTTTATTCAAACTAAACATTTATCCACACATAATTTTACATTAGAACTTTAGTTTTTTTTTTTTTTGTTATAAAAATGATTTGTATAAATAACTTTTAGATTTGTAGTGTAGTCTATGGTACTATGGCTGTGAATGGAATCATGGTTCAACCACGGTTCAAAGACGGAGCGAACGTACCACTTTCTATGTCACCATTCACGTTACTTTTTGAATTAAGGCTCCGAATGGAGAAAGCGTATCGAGCGGAGCGGATCAAGCGGTTCAAGCGTATCAAGCAGAACAAAAGCGGATCAAGTAGATCTAGCGGTACAAGTGCAGATCAAGCGGAATGGTGAAAGCAGATCAGGCAGTACAGATGAAATAATTATATTATAAAAAATATTAATTTCAAAAAAATGTTTTACATACACTATACATACTAAATAATTATATTACAATAACTTTACAATACTTTTCATATTCTTGAAGATGTATTTTAAAATATCTATTAAGTATTAAGTATTTATAAGTATCAGGATATTTTTTTATTATTCTTTCTATAAATAACTAATATTTCTGGATATATAATTCTATTTCGGATATTTTTGGGTATCCGAAATATTTCGGTTTCGATTCTTTTGGTTTTAAAATTTAGTATCTATTCGGGTGTTTTCAAATTTTTGGTTCGGTTTGGTTTGGTTCTTTTTGCTTCGGTTCCGATTCGGTACATTCAGTTCGGGTTAATTTGTCAAGGCCTATATATAATACTTGGAGAGAGACTTGATCCAAATATTTATCAAATTTTATAAAGTAACTATAGTGTTTAACAAGATATTTATAAGATTTTACAAGACATTTATAGAGTTTTACAAATGTATTTATAAGATATTAATTACTAAGATATTTATAAGATTTTACACATGTATAAAAATTGTTTGTATATATACTCCCTCCGTTTCATATTACTTGTCGTTCTATGTTATTTTACGTAGATTAAGGAATTTTGTAAATTGACTATTTTAACCTCACAAATAACTTCAGTTTACAATTCTAATTCTACTCCATTTATTTTTATTTTCTCTTTTAATCGTTGCAAACATAACCTCTTAGAATTCTTCCCCATTCAATACAAAATTAACAGTTTTTACTAAATTAAATATACATATTTTTTACTTGACTACTATAAAAATGTAAGTGGAGGGAACCTGAAATTTTCACGTCAATAACACGATTGAAGAAGAAAGCTAATGGAGGCAAATATTAAAATTCAAAACTTGTCACGTTTCCATGGCTACTTTTAATCTAAACTTTTCACCAACAAACAACAAAAACTATTTGTTTGATTTGAATAGCACTCCAACAAATAGTGACGATCATGATTCTGGATATGGAGATTTTAGAGGTGAAGATGACTCTGTTCATGCGACCGAGGAAACAGAGACGAAAGGTTCTTTGCCAACAATTATTGACTGTGTTGACTGTGTTGGAAAGAGAAAGGTAATCTCTGAAGTTAGAATGGTGAGTGACTCTTGAGATATTCTCAAACGTGAGAATTATTTCAAGATTTAGTTATTTTAATTTTTATATTGTGTTATTTTAGTTGAGGTTATATTTGGAATTCTTTTACAAAATATACATGGAAAACCGAAAACGACAAGTATTTTAAAACAAAAAATTAAGCTTAGAACGACAAGTAATATGAAACGGAAGGAGTATATTTTTAAAGATTTTAGAGATGAGACATTTTTAAAAAGTAATATTAGAAAATAGGCATTTTGAAATTGTCCCTAAATTAAATTATAGAATTAGATTAGAATTTGCTTCTTAGTTTAGAAGTATTAATTTATAAGTAAAAGAAATGTAGTTATTCATACAATTTTAAGTGTTTTTCCAAAAATTTAACATTAAAATAATATTAAATAGTTGTAGTTGTGGTCCGAACACACCTTATTATTGGCGTTTCACGGATCATGTGCAGATCTTCAAATTTATTCACAAACTTTGAACCACAAGTGGTTCAACATTTTTCTTTAATATTTTAATGAAGAACCACTTTGGTTTTTAATTATCGTTGAATGGAAGCATAATGCGTTACATCCGTTCTGAGTGTACCATCTGTCTTTTAAACGCTACTCCATTCAAGCCCTATTATTATTTTGAAATGGAATTTTTGAGAGGATAATTTAGTTTACTACTAAAAGCAAGAAACTAAAAACAAACAAGGCATAAAACGCGACAGGTGTTGATGAAGATTTGAATTGCCATATCTTCGGAGTTAGTTTAAAGGTTTGGCCAGGTTAGCGAATCTTTTCATAGCGTTGGGTCATAGCTGATCTGTCAATTTCTTATTGGTTGGAAGAAGGTTAGATTCTTTGGTTGGGGACACGTGGTTAGTTATGTATGGTGGAAATGGTACGATTTGGTGGAGACTTAAAAAAGACGGCACGAGACACTTTCTTAAGGTTCAGGCGACATGGTTGTGACTTGTGAGTGACACCACCCACTTCATAGTTCAGAGCAACCTTAATGGTTGGATCCAAAAATTGACATCCAAACAAAATTAATAATATTTATAATAAAAAATAAAAAAATTTAGACATTTTTTTTTTTTTTTTTGGACAGTCTAGATCCAAAAAGTGAAGATCCAAAAAAATAAAGCTGTTAAAAAAAAGAGAGAGAGAAAACAAAGCTGCAACATTTTTTCCTCTTGTTCAAAAAAACAACCAACCCACGTTTGCCACGTATGCGTGTCCAAAAATGTTCTAAAAATCCAAAGTTAGAACCGAGTCTATTGTTTTTATTCATTTTTGATTTATTTTTTAGACACTTTGTGTCTTAGACCTCTACTTGGATCCATCCTTAATGATGGTCCAAAGATGTTCTAAAAAGCAACTATTTATTTATTTTTAATATTATTTTACAACCATAAAGTTTAGGATCTTATAGTTTTTTTTTTTTTAATGTTTTATAGATCTGAGAGATATTTTCTTCTTTCCTGCTTAACTTTGTCTGTGTGTTTTTTTTTTTTTTTTTTTTTACTTTTTACAAGATTTCATTATACATATATTCGGCTCAAAAAAATTAAGGACCCTGAACTGAAAACAATAATTTGTCCTAATTTCTTATGTATTTTTTTCAAAAAAAAATTTTGGACTCTAATTTTAATAAATTTAGTTTTTTAAAAAAGGCAAAATTCGATGGCTCTTATGCATGAGCACCCCCAACACATGGGTTAAGCCGGCCCTGCATATATATATTAAGTTAAAATAAAATTTCAACTTAATTTATCTTTACGCTCAATCTGATAAGAAAACTTAAGGGCATGATTGGTTCGAATGTAGAAGATTTATAAAGTCACTAAAAAAGCTGCAGTCCCAAAATTGAAACAATTATGATGTAGCTTTCCTATTTTTTCTCACAGCTTAAATAATAATTTTTTAATTATTTTGGCTGTAAGTACAAGTTTTTCTACGGCACAACTTTTTGGTCTTTAGAAGAGCTGTACCTTTTTTTTTTCCATTTTATTTTCTTTTTTTCTTTAAAAACGTTATTATAGTTTTCATCTATAAATATATTATGAAAATATATTTTTATGGATATAAATAGTAGGTAAACATATACTTCATGACATATATATAACTGTTTTTGGGGCAAAAAAAATATATAACTCACATTTTTTAATATATATGTATATCATAATTTATTAAATTAATATTTGTGAACAATATTATATAACACATCAGTACTATTTACCAATCATATTTTTTGTTTAAAATACATACAATCAAAATGTTATTTCTACAATAAGTTTATTTAAATAATAATAATATCGTATTAATAAAACTTACAACCTAATTTCCACAATAATAAACTTACAGCTACCGTTATCACATCTACATAGCAATAAATCTAGAGCTTCAAACGTAATTGGTCTAAAGACAAAACGAAATAAAGTTTGTCCTACGGCTATCGATTTAGTTGAGCCCATCTAAAAGCCCAATGGACTCTTCTACAAAGTATAAAAAAATAAAAAAACAGAAGTTGGCTTCGCCCGGGTTCGAACCGGAGACCTTCAGTGTGTTAGACTGACGTGATAACCAACTACACCACGAAACCTTTGTTGTTACACATTCACTAATTGTTTTATTTAATATATTATTTACTTGAAAAAACTTACTCGCGAGTCGCGTGACTCTCTCTCTATTTCTTTTGTTGACGGAAAAAAAAAAAGTTCTTGATTCCTCTCTCAACTGTCAATCTCTCAAATTCTCCGATCACCATGAGTAAGGGTCCGGGACTATTCGCCGATATCGGAAAATCTGCGAAAGGTATGATAATCTTCCCTTCTTCATCTCCAGTAGTTTTTGATAGTTTCGCGTTTTGCTGATTTTGTGTTTTCCTTTGTGTTAGATCTGTTGACGAGAGATTACAGTACCGATCAGAAATTCAGTATCTCCACTAACAGTATCTCCGGCGTGGTAAGTATCAAATCTCGTTTCTAGCTTTTATCATCTTCTTCGTAGTCGATTCGTAGATTTTGGTTCACATTGATGAATTTGTAGCAAATGTTTTGCTTAACAAGTAACTGTTTTAAGTTCTTCTTGGTTTGATAGATTTGATCTATTCCCTAGCTTCCGAGTGAATCATTGATAATTGACAACGCATTTGAGTGAAGTTAAAGTCAATCTTGATATACGGATATACCTGTGGACTGTGGTTTTGGAGACAAATCTCCTCTTGATGGATTTAACTGCATAAGCATTGCACATTCTCTTGTGATTTGATTGATCAGCATGCATTTCTGTCATTGTTTTAAGATCATCTCCTGTTTTGGAGTTAGCATAGGAGGCTGATGAACAATATACATGTATCCTGGTAATATACATTTGTGGCTTCAGAACAATAAGCATACTTATGAATATGTTGAATGGGGATATGAGCTACTTATAGGTTGCTTTGTTTATTTTGCCTGGATAAATGGCTGCATCCATTGACTCTTGTCTTCTGCTATTTTATTATAGGCTCTTACTTCCACTGCTCTCAAGAATGGAGTACTACATGCTGCTAACGTTGCTACACAATACAAGTACAGAAACGCTTTGTTCGATGTCAAGATCGATACTGATTCCAATGTAAAGTCGTGTTTATCTAATTAATATATTTGTCTTAAATGATCACACTACTAAGTTTGCTACCTCTTCTTTTTTCACTTGACCAGATCCTGACAACCATCACATTCACTGAGATCCTTCCATCGACAAAAGCCATTGCTTCCTTCAAAGTGCCAGATTACAACTCTAGCAAGGTTTTGGTTTTTCAGAATTCTTTAAGGTAGATATACCTATAATGAATTTTTTCAGCCTTCTGAATTCAATCTCAACTATGATTTATAGCTGGAAGTCCAATACTTCCATGATCACGCAACAGTTACAGCCGCTGCAGCCTTACAACAAAACCCTCTAATTGATGTAACAGCCACTCTTGGCTCACCAACTATCTCATTTGGTGCTGAAGCTGGGTATGACACTACATCTCGAACTTTCACAAAGTACAACGTCGGAATCAGTGTCACAAAGCCAGATCGATGTGCCTCCATAATATTGTAAGATAAAGAAGCTCTTATTAATCAAAGTTCTATCTAAGCTTAATTTGTATTAACTGAAACTTTTCTTGGAAAATTTCAGGGGAGATAAAGGAGATTCGATCAAAGCTTCATATCTTTATCACCTAGATGAGTCGAAGAGAAGCGCAGCAGTTGGAGAGGTTATCAGGAAAATCTCAACGAACGAGAACACAGTAACTGTTGGTGGATTGTATGCGGTTGATCACTTGACGAATGTGAAAGCTAAGCTGAACAGTAACGGCAAGCTTGGAGCTCTTCTGCAACATGAGGTCCTTCCAAAATCGTTAGTGACAATCTCAGGTGAGATTGATACCAAGACATTAGATAAGTACCCAAGGTTTGGTCTCTCTCTTGCACTTAAACCTTGAAGAGCTACCCATACCAATTGTATTTGGTTTAACAATGAAGACTACCTTTTTTTCTCCTACGACATTGTTTAGAGTTGAGTTTTTTGATTAATCCTCAGGTAATCTCCCACTGTCGGATAATTCTTTTCCAGGTTTGTTTTTGTTTTGGGCTCACGCTTAATGGAAACAGTCAATCTTTTCTGAGAGAGGCCTTTTTATTTTTTTTGGTTAAGAGAATCAAACCACATGCTTGCTCAAACAATTTGTGAAAACTTGAATCAATCAAAGACTTAAATTGAATAAAATAATGTCGTTATTAAAAGGAATACTAGGATAAGAAACGAATAAGGGAAGAGAATCAAAAATGATCTCCATCTACACATGTTCTACAAATGTGAAAACTTTTCAGTCGGATAATTTGTTTGTTTTTGTTCTATCTTTTTTTCGCGAGGAAACACCTGTTTTTTTGAGTCATTGAGAAAGAAACAGAATGAAATGATTTGTTATTTATCAGAGTGATAATTCTTTTAAATACACAGTTATATGCTAATCAAAAATTACGAATGGAAAGCACCATCAAGATGGATCTACCAATTTCGAACACAACCTAAACAACAAACGTCTTAGAGAACAAAAAATTATTGATCTGATTTTAAACATACAAACTCGTCATTTCAAATGAAAAACACTATCGAAAATGGAACTTCCAGTATCAAACTACACAACCTAAACCAAGAAAACCAATTTAGACAATCATTTCAGCTAAGTCACCAGATACATTAACCCATTTCATCTAATCTATAGCATTATAAACGCACACTCATAAACCACGACTCCTATACCAAATCACGAGCTTCAACATCAATCTCAACAAACAATCAACACAGAATCAAAAGCTTACCCAAACAAAGATAAACATATACCAAAATGAGCAAAGAGACAAACTCCATAATAAAACTTCAAATATCCAAAATGATAAAGATCCAGTGACAACATTCGAAATATCCAAAACTTGAAAGTAAAAAAGCATAAATCTAAAAGATAAAACCTTTCAGAAAGATTTCTTCTTCCTTATCACTTAATCAACGTTCTGCATAACATCCTCAGAAGTAAACTTAGTACCCTTCTCCTTATCAGCAGCAGCACGTCCCTTAGCCTTCCTCTCCAAAAGCGATTTCCTATCTTTATCAAGACGAAGCTTCGTTATCACAACTTTCGACGGCTGAATCCCAACGTTCACGGTTGTTCCATTCACCTTCTCTCTCGTAATCCTCTCGATGTGAATCACCCATTTGCGACGGTACACCTGAACAACTTTACCTTCACGTCCCTTGTAAGTACCACGAACGATCTGAACCTCGTCGTCTTTACGGATCGGCATGGATCTGACATTGTACTTCTGACGAAGATCGGTCGAGAGAGGAGAGCTCATTATCACACGCCTCTCGCTTGAGGAAGCTGTGAAATGAGCTTTCCTGTTCTTCCTGCGGGAAGAGGTCACTCTTGGATTGTACTTCATCTTTCGCCGCCGGGATTGAGAGAGTCTTCTCTTTAGGGTTTTTTTTGTGGGGATGAGGAAGAGATTATGAGTGTGTGAAGCTTATATAGTTAGGTTTTGAGTGGAGCTAGGTCTAATTTGGGGCTTTTCTTATGAATGGGCTTGGGCCTGTTTTTAGATTTTGCTTTTGAGGGTTTTATAGTGGACCTGTAACTACATTTCTGGCCCTGTAAAAGTCATTTCTTGGATCAATCAGTTGGTATCTACTATCTACTATCTACTATCTACTATCTACTATCTCTCTCTTATTCTCACATCTCATGATGTAATTGGCTAGTTGTATCATGCAATCTAGAGAAGTTTTGTATCATGCAATTTAGACGTTTTTGTGGAAATTAGAGAAACCAATAAATAAAGTTTGGATGTCAGTATTGATTTAACAAAAAATTATGTCAGAATTTTTTAAATGATAGTATATTAGATAGTCATAACTATGATGTGATATAGGTGAATCAATTACTGCAATTTTTTATTTTCGAGAGAAAAGTTTAGGGCGAAACTCATACATCTTGGAGCCCATTGCCAATGTGTTCGCAAGGACTTCCAAGACTCTCCAATTTTTGGGTGACCAAAGAGGTTCATTGGTTTAGTAACCTCATCCGGTTTAAGTTATTGGGAGACCCATGTGCACAAATTAAAGCAAAATAATCTCTATACTATTAAAAGAGAAGTACAAATGTACTTGGGTCGGGTTAAAATTGAAAAAATTAGAAAAATGACCCGCAATTTAATCAATCGGATCTTCGAATATTTATGCCAAAAACAATTTAGGAAAATAAAAGTGAAAATGGATCTAAAATCGGATGATGTGGCAAACAATATTCAGAATCGTTTATATTCGGAATAATTATAATTATATGGTAACTATAAGATCTTATTGTTAGGAATTCCACGTAAAACTTATACTGACAATTAAAACGTTAATAAATACGAATATATTGAACTAATTACTATTATTGCCGTTATTGCATAGATCATTGAGATCTTATTTTCATATTTTCTATATTTAACTATTAGAGTTTAATACCTATCCAAATTACTATGCGATTTACTATGCGGAATTTTTTCATTTATTGCCATAGTAATCTTTTTTTGTTAGATTTTATTTTCTAGAATAATCTTATTTTGTTTAGATTTCATTTTCTAGAATATTCTACCGAATATACTTTGTGGCAACCCTAAATTTGTCAAAATGTAACCTACCAGTATAGATATAGGGCATATCGTCTGTGTTTTCTCAAATCATTAGACTTGACTCACATCAACCTACACTTTTTTTTTGCGAAAACATCAAGGTCGTGTACTGTAAACTGTTAGTTTTGCCTCTGATATCGTCAATATATTTTATCGTTCTTTGTATTTCACACTGAGATTGTCTATAACTGTGATTATTGTTTAGATATGATTTTCATATTTGTTGGTTTGTTATAATTTTTAAAATGGAGAATCTGACCTAAAGAGAATGGAAGAGCATGCAGCGGTTGGTCGTTCTTGAAGGGTGAATCAGGTGAAGTCATGGTACGTAATTGTTTGCCAGAGGTAATGTAACATTTCTTAGATATTAGGTACATTAACAATAGAGATCCATAGACCATATTATCAAGCTCTAGACCTTAAAAGTTAAAGGTAAACTTCTTATCTTTTAAAACCGTTATTTTTTTCAAAAAAAAAATAACTTCATTCTTTTATCCAAAAACTTTTGATATTGCTTACCATTTATAGAACTAGAGTTGAGGTTTTAACTAACTCAATTGATTTCTATGTCTTTATGGGATCATGCTTCTTCAACTAGGGTGAAGGTTTTTCCAAGTGAGCCATACTCTGTTCAATCAAGAATGTAAGGGAAGTGGATCATCATTAACACATAAAAAGGGCAAGAGCTTTGCCGGATTTTCTTAGTGATTTGGTTGAGGTTTGGTTTTTTCTGAATTTTTTCATTTTATTATAGTATAAATATTGATTTTCAACTAACAATAGTTTAGTTTAGTGGTTTCATTTTATATATGATTTCATGATTCATGATTGATATTGGTTGTTTTATTATAGTATAAATGTTGAGCATTGGGTTTTGTTGCAAGATTTTCTCGCCCTTGGTGGTTATGATTCATTCCATAAAATGAGAAATATATAAGTCTAGAAGTCATACCAAAAGATGAACAAAAGAATCAGTGACAATGAGACATATTTGCAGAATTTTCCTAAGGGTGTTTAGGTTAGTTCATGCTTTTGGAGGTTACAAGAAATGTCATTGCATGTGAACGTACAGTAGAAGGACCTTTGGACTATATCTGAACGTACAATGCAAACAAATCACTCATTTTTTTTTTGTCACCTTTCTCATATTCAGTACTTAGCGAGCCATAGATTGATCTTCGTTTAGGATTTTGCACTCATCATGGAAGTGAGCTGAGGATGTGAATGTCTAAATGGTGGACTTGGTTTAGTAGAAAAAGGATAATTGAGGAAAAGAGACCTACTGAGTCTTACTGTTAAGAAGAATCTCTTTTTTTTTGTCATCAATTAAGAAGAATCTCTCTCTAATGGAGTTCTGAAATTTGTGTCGAGATTTATTTTGTTGTTCTCTTGTGAGTTGTGACTTTCATTGTAATTTTCTTTGTAAGTAAAGAAAATTTTCAATTCTTTAGTTTCTCAAATGGAAATTGTTGTACATAAAAACTTGAATACAAAATATTTAATTGTATCTTTTTCAAATGAGTATTATTTACAATATGAAATGAGTTGTTAGTAAATATTAATCTTTATATATAATTTTAAGGGTGGTTTGATTACATCTTTGGCGGGTTGGTCCATCAAATCTCTATATTACTAAAAAAGATGTATATAAGTTTTTGTCTTATGTTTTAACTGTATTTACTAAAATGCTATTATAATGTAGTTAAAGAGAATAAGGCTCATTATATAAAAGTAATTTAGGTTTAATATTTACCAAAAAAAGATTAGACGGGTCAGTGCAAATTCTTCTAACTTGACTCGAGATTTTAAATTCGGATCCTTTTAGTCGGATCTTTTAACGGGTCTAGGAGATATTATCCTTCATCTTTGGACTTTGATGAACTTTGTATAATTTATACACTAAGGCCGTTGAAATCATAGGAGCGTACATACATATATACAGTCGGTCGATAATTTTCTTTTAAAAAATATATCTACACCTAATTCATCCAAAACCAAATATCATCACTCTCCAAACTAGATTGGAATCACAAAACTACACAATTAAAAATTGTATGTGGTTAGATGACCAAATCAAATTTAGTCTATGGTGCATACAATTTATTTCCCAACAATTACGATATTTATATAGTGATTAAATAATATTTTATACGACTAATTTTATTGGTAAATCATTTTAGTATTTCACGATTTATGAATATTTATAGTATAAATCCCGAATTAAACTACACGTAGGCAAATAAACATTCTCCCGCGGTGGACCGCGGGTCCGATCCTAGTAAGGTTGTACATAAAAGAAAGTCAAAAGTTTTTAATTAGAGGGGCTAACAAATTATGAAAGAAATGAGTATCATAGGAAATGGAGTTTGTATTAAAGTGACCGATCACACTAATTTTCCTATGGTGGTTTGTGCAAACAAATTGATATAAACAATCCATGTTTCTTACGACAAAGACAAGAATGCCAATTTAGTAAAGAAAAAACCAATAAAAACTTGCACTAGTACTATATATACACAACAAATTAAGCTCAATTTAAACCTAATTGAATTCTCGTGAAATTTGAATGTTAGAACGAATGTACATTTTGGAGAACATGTGGGACGTGGTCCCTCTGTATGAAATAGAAGGTTTATGGTGAAGAAAAAAGGAAAACGCATTTAAAGACTTTCACGCATATAATAACGATCACAACAAATCCTCTTAAATTCATTTATTTCCCATATTACTCACATTTATTGCCAATTCACTGTCCAAAATTTCCTTCTCTTTTTCTTCTTTATACTCTCTAAAAACCTAACCGGCGAATTCGAATCTTCTCAAAAAATCAAACAAAAACTTTTTCTCTCTCGAAAAAAAAGATGAAGCGATGGACAAACTTAGGGTTTGTTGATACGATTTATGAAGACGAAGACTACGTAGATCACTCTTCTTCTTTATCTTCTTCTTCTTCATCTTTGTCTCCTTCTCCGAAACAACGTATCAATCTCTCTTCTTCTCCTTCAATGGAGCTTGAATCTCGAGTCCATAAATGGTAATGTTTCTCTTAGAAAATTTCCAAATCTTTACCCTATTTTTTTTTGGTAGGTAAATCTTTACCACATTATAATTTCTCTTTTTTTTTTTTGGGTGTTTTTTTCTATATTTTTATTCAGGTCGTTGGCTAATAACTCTAAACCTGATGTGTTCGTAAATGTGGGAGGCACAAGGTTCCATCTTCACAAGGTTACATATTTTTCAAACTTTTATTTGCCAAATTCAGACATTTTCCAATTTTCATCAAAAAAATTCAACGATTTTTAACAAAGTTATGGTATTTTTATTTGATTTTTTAATTGTATATTTGTTATAAATTTTTAAAAAGTTACACATTTATTACAAAACAAGCAAAAAGGTTTGGTTTTAATTGGGAGGTTATGTTTATGTTTATGTCATTATGTGATGTTTTTATTGTATTCCATAGGATCCTCTGTCAAAGAGTGGCTATTTAAAACGCTACCTAACGGGCGTTAACGAATTAACTCTCTCACCGCCGTTAAATATAACGGCTGAAACGTTTTCGTTAGTTGCCGGTTTCTGTTACGGCGCTCACATTGACTTAACGCCGTTCAATGTTGTTTCGTTGAGAATCGCCGTCGAGATTCTTCTGATGACGGAAGCTGACGACGGAGGAAGAGAGAGCCTGAGGAACTTGACGGAGTCTTATCTCCGACGAGTCGTCTTCGTCAGCGTTGACTATACCCAGATCGTTCTCCGTTCGTGCCTTCTTCTGCTTCCGGAGTCTGAAACGACGGCGTTTCTTATCGGACGATGCGTAGAAGCTTTGATGGAAATTGGAGACGGTGACTGCGTTAACGAGTTTCTAGAGGAAGCTGTTAGACTTCCCGCCGGCGATTTTAGCGTCGTCGCCGACGCCGTGCAACAGCGGTTCCCGCGTCACGATTTGCTATATAGAATCGTTGATGCTTATGTGAAGGTAAAAAGGGTACTTTCGTCATTTCGAATTATCTAAACTGATTATGTGACGTGTCATCTTATGATTGGATGGAAATTTTAAATTTTTGCAGGAGCATGACGGAGAGATAACGGAGGAAGAGAAGGTTCAGATATGTAATTCGATAGACTGTGACAAACTCTCGCCGCCGTTACTACTTCACGCTGTTCAAAACCCGAAAATGCCCCTGAGGTTTATAGTTCGGGCGATGCTACAAGAGCAGCTCAACACTCGCCACTCGATCATGGCAGCTGCAGCCGTCGCTTCCGCTGCTCCGGTTGGAGACCGACACCGAGAGATTGCTGCAGCGGCGAGAGACTCATCCGTTACGCTTGGATCGCTTCTCCAGCGAGACACGGCGGCGCGGCAAAACTGTCGGCTAAGAGCCGCGATGAATTCCACAAGCTCGAGGATTGAGTGCTTGGAGAAAGAGCTAGACGCGATGAAGAAATTCTTATCGAAAGAATCGGAGAAGCAGAAATCAGACCGGATCATCATCGAGTCGAGGTCAAGAAGTGTGATGGATTCCGCTCGATCCGCGAGTTTCCATTGCGTTCACCAACCGAGTAACTTAAACAAGACGCAGAGAGGCGATAGAGGTTCGGTTTCAAACCTGAGCACGACTTTCCGGCGAAGAAGAGCATCTCCACCGCAACCGCAGAAAAGTATCGGAAAAAGACTGATTAAGGGAATAAAGAACGCTTTCTCTACATCATCCAAACAAGGAGCCAAGAAAAATGCATATGCAGTCGACGAGATTTATGATGGATTAGAAGATTTTGTCTGGATCAAAGACGACGATGATGACAACATCTCTGAAGAACTTCACTCTCACTACATCAAGAACAAATAATCTCTCTACTCTACATAACAATTTCATAATCTTCTTTCAGTAAAAGTTTTGTAGCCAAGAGTGAATGATTCTGTGTTTCTTCTTCAATTAATGAGACTCCAAAATTGATATTAAGTTCAAAAGAAGAGAGCTCATGGATCTTCACGACATTGCAGACTTCCATGCCGTATGTTTGATACGCTGCAAATATATAGCAAGATTTGTTAAGTTGATGTGTTGCTACTAACACAAGAATGAAACACAAGAATATGAGAAACCATATACTTACCTTCATTTCCTTTTTCATTGCCCTTTCAATAGAAGGTAACCATTTTTCTCCTCTTACTTTCTTCAATTCTGCGATTCTCTCTTCCTCTTTCTTAGCTTTAGCTTTTGCTGCCGCGTCTTTCGCCTCTAATCTATCCGAGGCTTTCTTGGCCGCTTCCGTAGCAGCAGTTAAAATATCCAACCCATCAACAGCAATTGATTTTATTCGTTTCTTAAACTGCAGTAACCACAGAAAACAGAAAGAAATTAGCTTTGGTGATTCATAATCCGCTCAAAACAGAACAATGCTTGAAGCGAAAACGAGCTTAACAAAAACCTCTTTAGAGTTTCCTTGGGCTCCTCTGTCAGGGCGTAAATTAGGCTTCCTTTTGGGTCCTTTAATCTCATCTAGTTAACAAGAAAAACAAGAAAATAAGTTTCTCGACAGATTCATAATAATAATACAATTCAAGATTCATAGCTGGATTCTCGGCGATGGATGACTAACCTACATGATCAAAGATTATGCCAGTTGCACACCGCTTAAATAAACGAACTCCACAATCATTCTCTGGTTTATCCTCGGGAACATTGACAGGATCTTTAACAAAGTCTAAAGTCTTCTCCACCATTTCATTCAAAAGGTTCTTCACCTGTTAATTAAAGCTTACCTCAATCAACAAAAAACAACCAACTCAAAGTAGTAAACACACCAGGAACAAGAGTTTCAAGAACACCTAAAATACTGATCACTCAAATACACTCTACTTTCTGATCAATAGCTCCATCAACAAGTTCTTGCAATTAGAACCCAATAAACAAAAACTCTTCTTTAAGCAATAAAAGTCTAATTGCCATCAACAGAGCTATATGTAGATGAAATTAGCATTCGTTACACTCTTCAATATCTTAGCTCTTAGTAATGACTCACCTTGATCTGCCCATGTGTTAGCTTTTTAGGTTTGATTCTAAAATCTCCATCTTCACATAGCTTAGTAGCTGCGGGTTTCGTGGCGGAGGCGCCGTAAACGGTGGTGGTGGCTATCGAATTGATTGCAGCTTTCCACTTGGGATCTTCATCTTCACTGCTGCTATCTCCTCCACTTCTCTCTCGATCAGCCATTCCAACACCGTCTCAGTGAAATCTCTCTACTTTGTCTCTATGTCTTGCGGCGAACTGTGTAATCTCCGGCGGAAGAACGTCGTCAAGGGTTTATTAGATAACACTTTTTCCGGATCCGGGTCGGGTTTATAAGTTTAATCTTATTTAACCCAAGGACCCCGAGTCTTTTAGTATTACCAAATTACCCCACATTTTCTGGTGTTTTGATAAAACACGTTAGAAATGTTTGTATTTAATGAAAGACCTCAATATCTTTTGATTTTGGCGTAAGTACCCCATTCTTTTTGGTATTTATGGAAACACCCTCGTTTTGATATGTCGCTTTGATAGTAGTGAGTGGCACATGAAGGACCAGAAAAGTTTAAGACAAATCTATATATGCTATATATTGAAATCAAATCCAAAACTCAATACAATATCTGATCTCTAAAGAAACAATCAATCACATAAGAAAATGGATGCATAAAACGGAAGTGCTATAAGAAATTGATAGTAACAGAATTGTGTCCTATAGTAAATGTAACAGAACTCATACACTATCCTCAAAAGTGAACTGTATTAACAATGACCCTATAGTTCTCTCTCTCTTTCTAACCTGTAAACGAAAACAGAGCAGCACAACAACAACAACAACAACAATAACAATGAGCAGCAGCACAACAAACAAATGGAAGAAGAAGAAGTAACAGGTAAAAAGACTCTAAAAGCTTAGTCTTTTTTAAGCAATCTTCTTCTCTCTTGCTGAAGGCAACCGCCATTGTCTATGCCAATATACAGACACTCTCGACCACATTGGAAACCCGAAATTATACTCAAGAGGCCTATCAGCCGGTCCACCAACTATCAACGGTAACCATAAATATCTCGAATCTCTCAAATCCGCCGGATTCCACCTATCCGCCAAAAATATATACACACCGGGAACACCTGGTAATGGTATCACGAATGTGCTCTGCGCGAAAAACGTTGTTGACCGGAAAATATTGTTCCCGCCAACACATGGATTCCCTAATGTCTCCCATGGACCCATTATCGACTCAGCGGCATGAGCTAATGCTTCGTTTGGTGCCCATCCGGTGCAACCAGAAGTGATCATGTAGTAAGTGTTTTGGTGTTTGAAGATAGCCGGAGCTTCTCGGTGTTGTCCCACCATGATTCTCTTCATTACCGGCTTCACATCGAGGTAATTCTCGGTTAGAGGACCGATATGCAGGACACTGTTGTCCTCTGATGAATATATCAAGTAGGCGATGTTATCATCGTCTTTATAGACTGTCATGTCTCTACTGTCGAACCCGTGTGGTGATCTGCTGTATAAGTAATCGAATGGACCTGTTGGGTTATCGCTAATGGCTACACCAACCGAAGCTTTCGTGTAGTTTGCATCATCGATATGCATCCACATCACGTACTTACCTGTTACTGAATTGTATATCACTTTAGGACGCTCCAGAACATTGGATTTGTGTAAATCATGTGTCTCATCCGTTTCTTCGGCTGCTAATACAACGCCTTCGTTTTTCCATGTCCATAAATCTTTCGACGAGTAGCATCCAACACCGATTATATCAACCTGAAACAAATCCAAGAAAACTGTTTTCACATTCTAATTTCTAAATTCCAAGAATGAGACATTAATGGAAAGCAAGAAAAGGTAAACTTACTCGAGCGGCACCTTTCTTGTGAGAAAGATAAGTTGGTCCATCTTTATATTCACCATACCAATAGTAAACCTTTGATATTTCATCAAACAAAATGCCACCACCGTGTGCTTGAATCGGATTCCCTTCCGTGTCTGTCCAAATTCTCCCCGGGAAGTAGTAATGTGATGTATCATTATTACCCTTGGTAGGACCAAAAGCTGATTTCATATCAGGGAAAAACAGATGGCGAATCTGAGAATTCTCGTCAAGAAACTCTTCGACTAAAGTGGTTGGTATTTTTGGTTTTCGTTTGATAGCTCGCGGAGAACGCTTTCTAGGAGGCGGCATATGAATATTCTCTTCTTCAGCGTGTTCGAGCTCACGGACAATAGGATGATGGATAAGTAACTGAGGTGAAACATCAAGATCAACACTATATCTTCTGCTATACAACATGGTGAAATGAATCATGAAAACACATCCCACAACTGTAGATACTAAACCAAACGGTGAACAACGTAAAAACGTTGCTTTCTTGTTGTGTTTATTCTTCATCACTCTCATCTTTGTTCCAAAGATTTATCTCCACAATACACAACCTAGTTAGATCCAACACAACCAAACAAAAACAACCATAAGTATCCAAGTGTAAGTGTCGTCTAAAGAGTTAAATACAAGTGTTATATAACAAATAAAGAAAGTGATCTAAGTAAGCGAAGTAGATTTGTTTTGGCTTCAAGCTAATTACTCTTCTGGGAGATAATTTTTTTTCCCTATTAACAGATTTGGCTTCCACATAAGAGGGCCAAATTGTCAATTGAGCAAGTTGATTAGCAAAAATTAAGCACAATTATCGATACCAGATCGAAAAAAGCAGAAGCTAAACCCTAAAGACAGATAATTTCCAGCGGAAGATAAACACAAAAAATTAGGAGACAAAAGTCCTCGGGATCTTACCTGAAAAAGAAGCCGGAGCTGAAATTTCTGACATGTAATGAGAGTCTAAATACCTAAGCTTTCACCGAAGTAAACAATGTCTGAGAAAAAGAAACCAAATTTTTGATTTTGCAATTGGTTTCAGATTCCCCGGAGAAGAAAGCTCGAACCTGGGAACGTAATTACGAAACCCAGGAGTAGAATTGGGGGGAACTAAGAAATGGGTCGGTGAGTTTTGGTTAAGAAGGATCTATCACGGGAACAAAGAGAGGTCTTTGATGATGATGATGGATTCTGACGTGCGACCAAAAGACGAGACCGATGTTAGTTCTTTTACTCGTCTGATGAGTTTTCTGTTTTTTTCTTTTTTCTTGGAATCTTGTCGTTCTGGTAATTACTGTATCATTTAAGAAATAATGTTAATGATTGTCCCGTTAATATACTTTCTCCTTGAGTATATGATTCATTAATGCTTAATTATGTAAGTACCACTTCTTTCAATTAAAATTTTAAATATCTTAAAATACTAGTTTTGTCCAACATTTGATAGAAAATTAGATGACAAGTTAATTTAATTCGATGAAAACATTTATTTTTTGTTGACATAGATTAGTATATACTATTAGAGTAGTAGATATATATGAAAATATTCCATATCTTCTTGTGTATATTTTAGAGAATATCTTCTAGAATTCTCTAGAATATCTCCTTTGTAACCTATAAATATAGGACTCTTTATTCATGAATAATACACAATTTCACTAAACCTACATGGTATCAGAGCCATCGATCTAAACAAAAAAAAAAACCTAATTTTTTTTTTCTTCTCTTTTCTTCTTCCTTACGCCGCTGCCGCCAAGACCTAGTGTCTCCTTCATACCGGCCGTTCTTCTTCTCCGATCATCATGAGTGAAGAAGTCTCCTCAACGTCATCAACGTCCCATAGAGTACCTATCTTTGATATTGATAGTACTTCCCCGACTCTTATCTCCATCAACATGTCAAACATCACAAAATTGACATCAATCAACTATCTCACATGGCGTCTCCAAATCAAAGCCCTCTTAGATGGTCATGAGCTGCAGGGTTTCATCAGTGAAACCGATCAGACTCCACCCTCTCACATCACCACAGGGACTGTCACAACTGTGAACCCCAAGTTTACTTGCTGGACAAGGCAGGATCGTCTTCTCTACAGTGCTATCATCGGCACACTCTCTCTTCAAGTACAGCCGTTGGTGGCTCGTACTACTACCACGCGTGAGATCTGGGCTTCCCTTGCCAAGACCTTTGGCAATCCATCCCGCGGACACATCAACCAACTTCGAGAACAACTCAAAGGTGTTTCTAAAGGGAACCAGTCCGTACAAGACTACATGAAGAACATTGTCACCAAAGCCGATCAGTTAGCGCTTCTTGGTTCACCAATGCCACACGAAGACTTACTAGACCATATCACGAGAGGTCTAGATGAAGACTATCGCCCGGTCGTGGAACTCGTCAATGGCAGAGACACACCAATTTCTATTGAGGAGTTACATGAGAAACTTCTAAACAGAGAAAATCATCTTCTCTATGCAGCTGCAACAACAACGACACCACCGGCGTCTGCAAACGTGGCACAACAAAAGTTCAACAACAACAACAACCATGGTAGAGGAAGAGGTGCTGGACGTGGCTCACAAGGTCGGGGATACCAAGGAAAGTGTCAAATTTGTGGCATCCATGGTCACAGTGCTCGCACCTGTCGACAACTCAACTCGCCACAATGGTCTCAACCATCGTCGTATTATCCGTCTCCGCCATCACAAAACACGTGGACTCCGTCACCACCGATGCCACCTCAACATTGGCAACCAAGAGCTCACTATACCGCTTCCACAAACTACTCCCAAGCCCCCTGGCTTTTAGATAGTGGAGCGACACACCACATTGCCACCGACATGAGTAATATGTCCATCACGGGATCGTACAATGGAGGTGACGAAGTAATTGTTGGTAATGGAGCAGGCTTACCAATCACCACTACGGGTTCTACTACTTTTCCTACAACTACAAAGAATTTATTACTTGACAATATTCTTTGTGTACCAAATATGAAAAAAAATCTTATTTCGGTGAATAAGCTATGTCGGTCTAATGGTGTTATGGTTCAAATGTGTCCTAATGATTTTCAGGTGAAGGATCTCAACACGGGGGCAACAATAATCAAAGGCAGAGCTAATGCAGGGTTGTATGAGTGGCCAACGATTTCTCCTGGATCTTCTTTTGCTTCAGCTTTTTCAATTTCAAAAACGTCTAATTCCGCTTGGCATGCCCGTCTTGGACATCCAGCAAATTCTATTATTCAGTTGATTTCTACTCGTTCTAGGATTCCTATGTCTTTCAAAACAATTTGCAATGCTTGTTCTATTAATAAGAGTCATAAACTACCGTTTTCTCAATCATCGCTCAAGTCTCATTCTCCACTTGATATTGTTTTTTCTGACGTATGGACTTCACCAATTTATTCGATTGATGGATATAAATATTATGTTATCTTTGTTGATCACTATACAAGATATACATGGCTTTATCCAATCAAACAAAAATCTCACGTTGCTACCATTTTTCCTATCTTCAGGGCATTGGTTGAGAATCGGTTCAAGACAAAGATCACCACGTTATACTCGGATAATGGTGGAGAATATATTGGCTTGCGGTCCTATCTTGCCAGTCATGGAATCTCTCATCTCACGTCACCACCACATACACCGGAACACAATGGCATTGCGGAGAGAAAACATAGACATGTTGTGGAGACGGGCTTATCGTTGCTATCTCACGCCAAATTACCACTTGAGTACTGGTCCTATTCGTTTGCTGCCGCGGTATTTCTTATCAACAGAATGCCTACACCGATTCTCTCCAATGTCTCACCATATGAAGCTCTATTTCATTCCGAACCAAACTACACAAGACTTCGTGTATTTGGTTGTCTTTGTTATCCATGGCTTCGCCCCTACTCACAACACAAGCTTTCTCCTCGTTCAGTTCCATGTATTTTTCTTGGATACTCTCTAACACAAAGTGCTTACATTTGTTATGATCTTTCATCGTCAAAAATTTTTGTGTCTCGACATGTAGAATTTTTTGAAGATGAATTTCCCTTTCCAAATTTCATAACTTCGTCTAACACTTCCCATGAGTCTTCTTCTTCTGTTTCCCATCCTGTGTCTACAGCTCGGGTCTATCGTGAGCCACTCATCACCAGCTCAGCCCCTAGTTTGGATCCTTCCCCAACGTTACCACCTTCCGAGACGACACATGACACCAATTCACCGGCTACTACGTCCGATCAAGAAACTGAGCAAGTCGAAGATCATGTTGTGGAAGACAACAATGTTGTTGAAGAACCGGATCCTCTCCCAGTTGTCCCGGCCAATGTTCATCCAATGGTGACAAGAGCCAAGAACAACATTCGGAAACCAAACCAAAAATATGTGAATAATGTCACACTTGCGGAGGTAGAACCGACTTCTCATGTTCAGGCCATGAAAGATGAAAGATGGAGAAATGCTATGGGAGCTGAATTTGACTCTATTGTTCGCAATGGTACGTTCACACTCGTAGACCCACGTCATGCATCTAATGTTGTTGGAAATCGATGGATCTTTGTTATCAAGAGGAAACCAGACGGGACAGTTGATAGATTCAAGGCGCGACTTGTTGCGAAAGGCTTTCATCAACGACCAGGCATAGACTTCCAGGAAACATTCAGTCCGGTTATCAAACATGTGACAATACGTGTAGTTCTTGGACTAGCAGCTCGAAAAAATTGGGTTTTACGACAACTCGACGTGAACAATGCATTCTTACAAGGGAATCTTAACGAAGAAGTATATATGAGTCAACCACCGGGTTTTATTGACAAAGACCGTCCACACTTTGTATGTCGTTTACACAAAGCGATATACGGATTAAAGCAGGCTCCGAGAGCATGGTATAATGCGTTGAGAGATTTTCTTCTAAGCAATGGCTTTGTTAATTCATTGGCGGATGCGTCGGTTTTCATTTTTCACAAGGGAGAAGTTCTCATATACATGCTAGTGTATGTTGATGATATTGTTCTTACGGGTAATAGTGCTAAAGCAATTGATGGCTTTATACAAGCTCTCTCCCATAGATTCTCGCTCAAGGACATGGGTGAGCTCTCATACTTTCTCGGTCTTGAAGTCACACGCACGTCTGCCGGCATACGTTTGAATCAACGGAAGTACACGACTGATATTCTCACCAAGTATAACATGCTTTATGCTAAACCAGTGCCTACTCCGATGACTTCTGCGACGAGTCTCACAGGTTCTGATGGGGTTAGTTTATCGGATCCGACCGAGTATCGTGCTGCTGTTGGGAGCTTACAATATCTTGCACTCACGAGACCTGACATTGGCTTTGCGGTTAATAGGCTATCTCAATTTATGCATAAACTTACAACAGTTCACTGGGACGCTGTCAAACGTGTGTTGCGGTACCTAGCTGGTACAGTAGATCATGGTCTATGGTTTTCTTCTCGTGCTTCCTTGGATCTTAAGGCTTACTCTGATGCAGATTGGGGCGGTGATAAAGATAACTATTCTTCCACGGGCGCATACGTTGTCTATCTAGGATCACATCCCATTTCTTGGTCTTCTAAGAAACAAAAAGGTGTCTCTCGATCATCAACCGAAGCGGAGTATAGGGCTGTTACGGAGGCTGCCTCTGAAGTCAAGTGGATTGTCTCGCTATTATCTGAACTTCGAGTTAGACTCCCGACGACTCCGATAGTTTTTTGTGACAACATTGGTGCTACGTACTTGTGCGCTAATCCCGTGTTTCACTCTCGGATGAAACATCTTGCATTGGATTATCATTTTGTTCGAGAACTCATTCAAGATGGAGTCATACGAGTAGTTCATGTTAACTCCATTGATCAACTAGCCGATGGTCTCACTAAACCACTTCCGCGGGCTCGATTTCAAGATCTTCGGGTCAAGATTGGAGTAACCAATGGTTCTCCATCTTGAGGGGGCATATTAGAGTAGTAGATATATATGAAAATATTCCATATCTTCTTGTGTATATTTTAGAGAATATCTTCTAGAATTCTCTAGAATATCTCCTTTGTAACCTATAAATATAGGACTCCTTATTCATGAATAATACACAATTTCACTAAACCTACATATACTAAATTTTCATTGTTGACAAATAAAAACTAAACTTAACTTTTGGGAGTTCTGATTATTATGATCTATATAATAAATCAAACATACACATTATTAGATTTAAACACACAGCATAAAATGTGTTGTAAATCAATAATTGGATAATTATTCATGCAATAAAAAAGTGTCAAACCTATAACGGCTTTAGTGGTTGATCAATTCGTTTTTCACCTTTTCTTTGTCTCTCCCCTGTTCATTTATTTATGTTTACAGTTTAACGATCCCAAACAAATAGCAAGTTGGATGAAGCCAACTCTTTATAATTTATAGTTTTGCATCTTTAAATGTTGACCAACATAGTGAAATTTACTATTATATCTTTTAGAAGATAAAACATGACTTGAATAACAACATTCATCAAATTTGGTAGGGTTCTATAATTGCTTACCCGTGGGTATCGGGTCGGGTTCGGGTTTTACCCGATACCCGGTGGTGTAAACTGAAAACCCGATCCGCTTAAATGCCCTTAGGTTTAGTCTCTAACCCGATTAACCTTTTGACTATTTAACTTCTTCCCTTTGCTCGATTCTAGAACCCTAGATCTCTACTCTCTCCTTTATCAATCATCATTTACCACAATTTCCATTTCCGATTCAAACCTGGAAACTCAAACGAAGACCCCCACATGGTCGACACCGTCTCTAGTCACTTCTCCATCGTCGGCCTTGTCGAGAAACCGCTCAAAGGTACATTCCAATTTCACAAGTCCATGATCTCTCTCCGTCTCTCGAGTTTTAGGTTTATAATTGATTGAAATCGATGATAAGTTTTGGTTTAGGCCTTTAGGGTTTTTAGCTTTTACGGAATGAAATCGAATCGATTTCGATGATCTCTCTGTTTTGGTACTTATTTTTTCCTTTTCTCGACATTATCTATATCATTTTGACCCTCTGATAGTCTGATATTATGTATGATATGTCGATTTGATTGAGTAACTGGTGGATCTTTGATATTGCGATGAGAGTATATTAGAGTTATGAACTTATGATCCGTTTCATTGAAACATGAAACTTGGTAGCTCTGTCTCTAGGTTACAGTTGAGAAAACCACTTCTTTGTTGAATTTCTTTGCTTTGTTTTGTACAAGAGATCTCCTGTCAAGTTCAAGCAAGTATCTCTTATGGTACATGATGAATTTCTCTTACTTGTGTTGATGATAAAACAGAGACCGTGAAGATGTGATGGTATTTTTTCTTTATGTTCATGATCTTTCTTCTTTTTTTTTTTTTTCTTTTAATTTAAGTGGCAAAGTTGAATTTGAGTCGGTGAATTTGAGTAGGTCTACAAAGGTTAGTCATACCCGAACTAAGTGAGATACATAGATTATGTAAGAGTGAGATTGCATTCTGATTTCTGATATTTGTTTACTTGTATAGGTTCATGCGGGTTGGTCAAGGAGAGTGAGATTATCTACTTCTAGTTTTCATGAATGTGTAATGTGTTTCCATCTCCAGTTTTCTACTTCGGGTTTTAGGCTTGTCAACTTGTCTTTTTTTTTCTTGGATTTGAATCATGTGTTTCATGGATATGTTCCATGCATTTTATGTCTTTAAGACTTTAACTCTTTATATTTGGATGATTGGAATTGGATGTTTAAAACTTTTGTATTTGAATGTTTTAGGTTTTATTCTATTCAATTACAGTGTAACAGAACCACAGTGTAAAAAATGTATTCCACAGTGTAAACGGGTAGAAAATACCCGAACCCGACCCGAAACAAGCAAGAACCGATATTTTCGGGTTTTTACCGGTTTTCAAATCTGATACCCGAACCGACCTGAACCCGACCATACCCGAACCGAAACCGAACCGATGTTTCGAGTTTACCCTATTGGGTCCTAGATTACCATACCCGACATACCCGAATCCAATCGGGTTTTACCCGAACACGACCCGCAGATCCGAATGCCAAGGCCTAGGATATGCAAAGTGTAAGCAAAAATCATCAATACAAGAAAAGAAAAGAAAAAAATCATTGATGGCTCAACCCATGACTAGTGGGTCAATTAAAGGCCCATGACAAAGAACCCATTAAACATATATATTCAACCCACAAATTATGAGAAACGACACGTGTAATTGCACCAATATCATATCACCGCCAAAATCTTTGGCGGCACCACCCAGCGAAAAAAAAAAAAACCATGGACGGTACATACGTGCTCATCACGCGCTTCTTAAACGCGAGTGGTTAGGTGATTTATCAAATTCTTCTTCCGAACTTCTGGTGTATCTGTCACCGTATCTCTCCTCTGATTGGCCAATCCAAATTTGAAATAAATAAAATAGCAACCCCATGATTCTCGGTCTATCAACTAAAAACTTAAACAAGATCTAAACCGTTGATTTGGTGGACCAGATGAAAAATCGAACGGTTCAGATTCGTTGGGTTTGACTCTTTTAATTCGCCGTCACTGGATAGAGATATCATCGAGAGAGAGAGATCAACAACAGGCGACGAACGAGGAGAATAAGAAGCTTCTTCTGAGAGAGATCCGTGGAGGAGAATTCTTCACAGGCGGATCTGTTTGTCGGAGCTTTTGTTCAACATCATCAATGGGTTTGTGGGAAGCTTTTCTAAATTGGCTTCGTAGGTGAGAGCCTTCCTCAAGATTTCTTCAATCTTTTCTTTTCTTGTTTTGTTTATCTTGAGCAGAAAATTTTGTTTATCTTGGACTTTTGAGTTTGTTGTTGCTTTTATTTGAATTCAAATACCTATTTGAATATGTTTCGGTCTTTTTTTACGAAGAAATTGAAATCGGAATCGAAATCGTGTAGCAACCAAATTGCATCATCATAATCAGCTCAGTAGTACTGGAATCGTTCTAATTTGGAATGTTGAAGCTGAGTTTGACAAGGTTCTACAAATAATGGCAGATTCTGTAGTTTTTATTTCTAAAAGAGACAAACTTTAGGCATTTGATGTGCTCCTTGTTTGATTTGATTGATTGCCAAGTTTTAGGGTGTTTTTTTTTTTTTGTGTAGAACAGGTTCTGAAACTTAAAATTTCATGAAAGATTGCTTCTTTTTGGTGTCTAATTTATGTTTCTATGCTCTATTCGTGAGTCGTGACCTGGATAAAAAGTTCGGTAGTCATTATGTTTGTTTCGATATGATTTTGCAGCCTCTTCTTCAAGCAAGAAATGGAGCTATCTTTGATAGGACTCCAAAATGCAGGAAAGACATCACTTGTAAATGTTGTTGCAGTAAGTATGCTTCCCTTTGGATATTCTCTTTAGCACACTCAGATGATGGTGGTTGGGGATCTGACAGCTACTCTCATCTTTTTACTTGTTTAGACTGGTGGATACAGTGAAGACATGATTCCTACGGTAAGCGTTACTCTACTTCTACTATCAAGTTCATTTTTCACCTGTCTTTTGGAATAACATGAAGAGAAATCTCCTTTGTTTTTTATCAGGTCGGGTTTAACATGAGGAAAGTAACAAAAGGAAATGTTACAATCAAACTATGGGATCTTGGTGGTCAACCAAGATTCCGCAGCATGTGGGAACGTTACTGTCGCGCTGTTTCTGCCATTGTGTAAGGATCTTAGTTAGTCTCAGGTTTCTCTTCACTATGTATCTCCGACAATTCGGTTTCATGTTGATTCCATTTCCAGGTATGTAGTTGATGCTGCAGATCCTGACAACCTCAGTGTCTCGAAAAGTGAACTCCATGATCTGTTGAGCAAGACTTCGCTTAATGGTATCCCTCTTCTGGTTCTTGGGAACAAGATTGACAAACCTGGAGCTCTGTCCAAAGAAGCCTTAACAGGCGAAATGTATAGCTTTTTCTTCATCTGAACATTCCAAAAAAGCACAATTTTAGCTTGATCTGATAATGTTTTCTACGTCGTTATTGTTGCAGGGGGCTTACGTCTCTTACAGATAGAGAAGTCTGCTGTTTCATGATATCCTGCAAAAACTCTACCAACATTGATCAAGTCATTGATTGGCTCGTAAAGCATTCAAAATCAAAGAACTAAACTTCACCAAGAAGATATTATTCTCTCTTCTTGATCTTCTTAGTCTTCCTGTATTGTCTGGTTGATGATGATGGTGATTGTTGAAGACAATTTTTTCGTGTGAATCAAGAGTTTGTCTTTATTTGTCGTCTTCTGTCTCTCCTTCTCCTGCTGTTCTGGTCTGGTTTGGACCAGTATTGTCTTTGTATATTAGCTGTGGATTGTTTTTCTATTCCCAAGGCTTTGCAATTTTGGAAACACATAAACATAAGTGTCTCAATTTTTCTAAACAGCGTTCAGTAAGAAGAGAAATATACTCAATAAGGAAATGTACATGAATCAAATCAACCAGCAAGGGCAGTGTTAAAGAGGGAAATGGAAGCCTTAGGCCAATGTCCAGCGTTGAGATAGTAGAGGAACCCATTTGGAAACATCTTTTAGATGTTTCAGTCCTCTTGACAACTTGTTTCCCATGGACTTGATTATATGTTAGCTCTAAGTTGCCTCCATTACCCTCAGGCTTCAACAATCTAAATATAATTTGATTTATATCGTCTGTAAAAACAAAACTTAGTGCTCTCCCTCTTCTTCTCTTTGAGGAGACTTATTCATTTGTTTGTTTCAATCGATATGATTTTGCAGCCTCTTCTTCAAGCAAAGAAATGGAGATTTCTTTGATAGGACTTCAAAATGCAGGAAAGACATCACTTGTAAATGTTGTTGCAGTAAGTATAGTAATGATTTTCCTTTTATATTTTCTTAACATGTTAGTTGTTGGTGGTTGGAGAATCTGATATTTACTTGTTTAGACTGATGAATACAGTGAAGACATGATTCCTACGGTAAGTGTTACACTGCATCTTTTACAAAATACGGCTTTCGATCCAAAACCTGTTTTTTACGAACACATGAAGAGATTTCGTCTTTGTAGTTTTATCAGGTCGGGTTTAACATGAGGAAAGTGACAAAAGAAAATGTTGCAATCAGGCTATGGGATCTTGGTGGTCAACCAAGATTCCGCTTCATGTGGGTACGTTACTGTCGCGCTGTTTCTGTGATTGTGTAAAGATCTTAGACTCAGGTTTCTTTGTTATCTTTATTGCTCGGCTTATTCACAATCAGATCCTGACAACTTAAGTGTCTCGAGAAGTGAACTCCATGATTTGTTGAGCAAGACTTCGCTTAACGGTATCCCTCTTATGGTTCTTGGGAACAAGATTGACAAACCTGGAGCTCTGTCCAAAGAAGCCTTGACAGAAGAAATGTACAGCTATTTCTTCATCTTAACACTCCAAGAATAGCACAAAAGGCATATTTCTCATTTAGCTCGATCTGATTATGTTTCTTGCATTGTTTTTGTTGCAGGGGGCTTAGTTCGCTTACAGATAGAGAAGTCTGCTGTTTCATGATATCCTGCAAGAACCCTACCACCATTGATCAGGTCATTGATTGGGTCGTAAACCACTCAAAATCAAAGAACTAAACTTCACCAAGAACATATATTCTCTCTTCTTAGTCTTCCAATGTTGTCTGGTTGATGCTGATGATGATTGTATTATTGAAGACAACTTTCGTGTGAAACAAGAGTTTGTCTTTGTTTTCCAGCTGTCTCTGCTGCTGGTCTGGTCTGGTCTTGTCTTTTGTGTATTAGATGTGGGTTGTTTTCTATTAAGGCTTTGCAAATTTAGAAACACACAAAAACATAAGTAGCTCGCTCAACTTTCAACTTCTAAAATTCCAAGGAAAGGGCTTTAAGCTCTGTGTACAATCAAAGGCTTTATTTATATCTCTTCAAACCAGTTTCAAAGTCAGTCGCAGGAAAACCTAAAAAGTTACTAACAAAACCAGATCAACAGAAACAAGAAAAGGAATAGGTTTTACATGATTATCTGAGTTAGAAGACACTGTTACTGAACAAAAACACTGCAGCGATTGTAAAATATTGCTTTAGATGAAGATAACATGAAGATATATCGAAATGATAATATCAACCGATACAACATCAACGAGTTTTCTTAATTCTTACCGAGTTTGGCTATGCATCCTGTACTTCAAAGATTTCATCGCTGCTTTTGCAAAAATATGGGCAGCTTCAGCTTTGGCTTCTGCTTCATCTGCGTCTCTTGCTGCTTCTTCAGCTTCTGAGATTGCACATTCTGCTTCTGCCACGGCTCTTGCAGCGGCTGCAGCAGCTTCTTTTTCTGTCATACCCATTATCATAAGATTTTTGACGCCATTCTCCTTGGGTTTCGGAGTATTTTCCTTGTTTCCTTCCAACAAGAGTTGAGGAGACCTTTGTCTTGCTCCTTCAGCCATATAATTCGGAGAAATCCTGTATTTGTGCTTTTTCTGAAAGGTGAGAACAAACGCAAGAAAACCAATGTTAAGCCAGTGATAAATATGTGATATTTGCAAGCGTAAATTTCGATCAAAGTGTCTCTTCTTTTACTTACCTTAACTAATGTTCCAACATTTGTCAAATACTTAAGTCTTGAAGTCACAAGCCGTTTCATATCTGGTTGCATCTTGAAATTCTCCTGAAAATTTACAGCAACACTAAGACCTTGATGATCTATATAGATGCAGCAATGCATAATTATATGCAGACACAACGAATAAACACAGAAGGAAAACATCATTGTACCTCTATATACATCAAGATCGACTTTCCGTCAGGACCAAACGGTCTCTTCAAGTTGGTAATGGCCTCCAATATAATCTTATCCACACTACAACAAACACATTACATCTCAGATCTATCTTTAACAAACTTAAGCTAAAACAAGCCTCTATGCTTCATTATATTCCTCACTATTCCCATATACCACATTCACAGCATCAAGAATTCATACAAATACAAGAAGAGAGACCAAACCTTGTAGAAGGTCTTGGTGGTTCACAAGAACCTGCAGGAGGAGATGGTGCATAAATCTGTTGTCCTCCTCCATCACCATTAGCTAAAGAGACAATGGTAATAGCTGTAGCGTTATCGTCTTGCCTAGAACCCGACGAAGGAGTTCTTTTAAGAGCAAGCTTAGCCTTCTTCCTAGATCCCCATAAAGCTGTTACACTTATATTTCTCCATTTGTCCTGTAGACAACAATGTAAGTTTCTCACTCTTTATATAGTCTCTCTCTCTTCTATTTCAAATTGTTGATCATTTTACCTTGAGATCCACATTGGAACGAGACTTCAAAATTGAGCTATACTCAGGATCTGAGAGAATGGTACGCCATTTTCCAGTTCCATGTTTAAGTACTCCAGCTTTAAGAGCTGTTTCTTCTTCTGGTGTCCACTTCTGCTTTGGAGCTCCCATTGACACAATTTTATCACAAAATTCAAAACTTCTCCAGAAACACAACAACAAAACTTCTAATGTCTCGACTTCAATTCTCTGTAAACATCACAAAGATCAAAACTTTATAATCGTGAAAACAAATGAGACGGTAAGAGAATGAAATCTTGTTAATTGCATTAGAAATTCAATAGAAATGCGAGAGATTACGAAGACAAGCAAAATCATCCTCAGCATGAGAAAAGATTAAAGCTTTTTCGATCATGGAAATTAGCTAGGAGAAGAAGAAGACATGCCTGATAACGCTGAAGAGAATGAGAGAGGAAGCTATGGAGAGTGTCATGGATCAAATTTTGAATCTTGTCGCAGAGACAAAGGAAGAAGACACAAAAACTTGACCTTTTATTTTTTTTCGATTTAGCAGAGCTACGAAGGTTGATGATGTATCGATTTTGGGGTGCTTGACTTAGGAGCCCTTTTATTATCCTTCAATTTACAAATTCATCTTTTACTTTATTTAATTACAAAAACACACCCATTTGATTTTTTTACCTTTAGGGATTAATTTATGAAATTATATTAACTATTGCGAGATGAAGATTAAGATTATATATATGATTTAATTAATAGTAATCTTATAAAATTGTACATTGACAAACCGACAATGAATGGTGGATGTGGCATATAAAAGTTTGAGACAAATATGTAAATATTTTCAACTTACTGGACCGTAAGGATAAATTCATATAAGTTTGATTGCTTATGCTAATTCTCATCTACTGAAAAGAAAATGAATGGCTTTTATACAAAAGTGACAACACATTTTTTACATATACAAAAGATGGGTACATGTACATTACCCTCAATAAAAATAGACAAAGATCTCTCAAGTCAAATTCGGATTCATAATAAAGAATAAAAATAAAGAAGATAAACAAACCCAAAACGTGGACAGGACACACATAACCAACCAGAAGAAGAGATCTAAAATGTTGATCAAACACGTCTTTTAAACATTTTGACAAAATACAACAATGGCATCTTCAAGACGGTCAACGGCAAATATCAGCTCATCCTTCAATCAAAAGCAAGCTTCCAAGAGACAGCAACAGCAGAGCATAGCCAAACTGTAATACAAATACACATATTTATAAGTACTAAACATATACACTTCATACCAAAACTTATAACTAATGAACAAAAAATGTATCATTTAGAAAAATGCATGTAAAAAAAGAGAGATCATAGAGGGATATTGTCATATTGGGTCAACACACCATCCTTCCATGAAGCCTGAATCCTTGTCTTTCTTCTTCTTAGGTGGAGCCTGACCATAATGCGGCGGTGGAGGACCTTGATAAGGATACTGTGGTGGAGGACCTTGAGGATATTGCGGTGGAGGATAGCCTTGCGCTGGATATCCTTGACCGTATCCTTGCGGTGGTGGGGGATAACCTGCTGGAGGATATCCTTGCGGTGGATATCCAGCCGGAGGATATCCTTCCTTAGGAGGATACCCTGTCAAACAACAACATCAAAACTTAAGAAACAAGAAACAAAAATACCCAAAAAATTTTGAAAAGAAATTGGGAATTACCTTGAGGAGGAGGAGCACCGACGGGATGATGTTGGTCTTGATAAGACATCTTTTTCTCTGTTATGCTCTTATCTGAGGTTTATTTCTTTCTTTATAACGAACCCTCTTGCTTCTTTTTCTTCGCTGTGAATCGAATAATAATAGGATTAGTGATAATGATGATGAATAATAAAGGAGGTTTAGGAGACAAAAGACATGTTCTCTCCAAGGACTAATCTTAGATCTTAATGATTTTTTAATATAACTAATAACTAAAAAAAATACAAGTGATAGATGACCACCAACTCATATTTGTGGAATCATTCAAATTAAATTGCTATAGAAATTTCACCCATTGACAAACTTTACTCTATTATATCATATCCATCATCGCCCATACTTCAAAGTTCAAATAAATAATTAAATACTAATTTATACTCCCTCCGTTTCGTTTTAGTTGTCGTTTTAGGATTTAAATTTTGTTTCGTTTTAGTTGTCGTTTTAGGTTTTCAATGCAAATGTTTGGTAAAGATTCTAGTATTATCTCTATTGTTTTAATGTTGTGGCCAATAGAATTTTTTATATAATATATTAATAAAGGGTAAAATAGAAAATTTAATGTTTTTCTTAATTTGTGTGAAAAAACCTTAAACGACAACTAAAACGAAACGGAGGGAGTATTGAGTTTCACATCATTAATGACTACACACACATGGAAACGTATAATCTTTATTGGTCAAGATCAATTTATGTCAAAGGTTATATTTTGGTGACTAAAAAAATCCCTCAACTTTTCGGCTTTGTTGATTTTACGATACATTAATAAAAATCATGGTTCTTTTCCACAACATTACATATAACTATATAAAGCAAGGCTTGTTGCTTTATTCAGAAGCAACCTAAGATAAAACAATTAATATCTATTGATTATTACAACATTTGTACCCTTGCAAAGTTACAAAAATCTCTACACTCTCCTACTATAGTTGAAGAAAAGAAATATTACCCCTCTATTATATCATCCATCTTCTTCCATTATTCAAATGAAAATACTAATCTACATTGAGTTTCAAATCATAGATAACTTGTAGTCTTGTACACATGGAAAAAGTATTATCTTAATTGATCAAGATCATTTTTTGCCAAAGACATCTTGTAAAAAGTTAATATTTTGTTGATTTCAGGACCAAAAACGAAAAAGAGTTGTACAAATCATTCATCAATGAGATTTTTTTCCCACAAGAAATATAGAAGCGATGTTTGTTGCTTCGTACACAACCAACCTAAGAAGAAACAAGTAGGGTTATTACAACAATTGTGCCCTAAAAAGTTACAAGAGTCTACACTCACCGACTGGTTCAAAAAGTTTCCCTGGCTGCTTGGTTTTCAGAACCAGGGGAACCATCTCCGTCGCTTAATCGTACAAGTCAACTTACTGGACGATTTCTTTAAGGGATTTACATTAATTCTTGTAGCATTTTTCACCGTCCATTCGCTGAAACCGGGTGAAGAAACCAATTCCTTCATTGCCTTTTCTGTGCTCTCTTTAGTGAACTTTTCCAACTCTTCCTTCGTGAGCTTTCTTCTCCCTTCTGGTGTTTTGTGGAATGAAGAAGGGAATATATCTGAATCAGACAGTGGTACTGTCCTAGATATCTTCTTGGAACCTGCATAAACCATTTACAGAAGAAAAACCGGTTCTTCAAGAACATTACAAGATAAAGGGATTAGTATCAAATAAAACAAACCCCTAGAGACACAAAAAGAAAAACAAAACCTCTAGGAAGAGGAGAAGCAAACGAAGTAGCATGGATTAAGCCGGGGCTACAACACTCAGTTTCATCATCTTGCTCATAGATTCTTTGAGCTAACAGCTTTCTGCTGATACTCATTAGAATCGATGAGATGAGAATTCCAGTAATCAAAGCTCCTCCAGCAAGCAATGGATCTACAGAGCTCTGTTAATTTACACAAAATCATGACTTCAATCCCCCAAAAGGTTTGGCTATAATCAAAGATGAATCAAAAGCAAAAGCAGAGAAAAGTACCTGAAGGATCAGAGCCACAGCAAAAGCTCGGATGGACCAAGAGACAAAGATTGTTGTACCAATGTCAATAGAACCATCTTTAGTCGCAACAAATTTCTTTACAGTCCAAAATCCTGACCATGCTCCCAACATAATTGCAAACACAACCAAAATAATCGCCAGCTGCAAATTTTACATAAGCCGTTTAAGATTCATCAAACCAGAATATGCATATGTGACATCACAACAAGTATCAAAACTTACATACAGGGATATACAAATCTTCACTGATTCCTATCTGCATTAGCAGATCTTGAATTAAACCGCGAATGTATTGAAGAAAGTAACCTCCCACACCAATCTGAGAAGACAAAAAGGCTTTGTTTAGTACATGTTCGATAAAAACAACAAAAGAAGTCAAAAAGGAGACAACTCTCACCATAGACGAGTAGAGAAATAACTCAAACCGACTCTTCCCTCCGGTTGGGAGACGCTTTATCCCCTGTTCACAATCGTTTATCGCGTTAACCAGAGAGAAACCATGAACTATAAGCAAAAGCTTTTGATGTTAGAAATCTTTTACCTGATTAATGATAAGAGTTAAAAGAATGATAATCCCAATAGACATTGCACCAATATGGTAAAACACTACTGATTTGCTAAGTCTAGAAGCCAAACTCAGTAACACTATCCCCATAATTAAAAACACAATCCGGTACATGAAAAACTCTGCAAAGACAAACTCTACTTTGTTTAGTTTTAGAATTGCAAAACACAAAACAAGACAAGCACTCTACCTTGTTTAGCAGACAGCTCCAAGGTGATGACTTTAGACGAGCCACCAAATGCTCTTATATCAAGAATCTTAGAGTCAAAAGGTGACATCATCCCAACCCAAGGTAACCCTTTGGACACTTTCTTCCACTGACCATGAGGACACATTCCAATTGCACGCGACGAATTCCTATAACCAACAAGAAGGAAACTTGGAATTAAGCCAAATGCAAGCCTAAAGATTGACACATATAGATACACAGATTACTAGATTTCACCTGTGGAAACAAACGTCTATACTGTTGGAAGCATTATTACTCAAAAGGGTCAACTTTAGTGAGTGTGCATATCTATCAATGTGCTTAACTCTTCTTTGTAATCCATGGATATGTAATCTCTCACATATCGATGTTATACCAAGAGAATCTATCACCTCTGTTCTTGGAGTTACTTGTAGTGAACCAGTTTCATCCACAACTGCCAATAAACAACAAAGTTGAATCTTTTTGGTATAAATCTATCAAAATTGTCTAATTCTGTTAAAAAGGTTTGAAATTTGGTGATTATAAACTGAAAAATTCGAGTCACAGACAAATTAGAACAAAACCCTAAAAGTCTAATTCAATTCAGACACTAACTTACCGACGAAAAGTTCATCGGAGGAGACAACGGAGAAGAAAGTCAAGAGGTTGAGGAAGAGAATCACGACAATGAAATGTGAGCTTCGGACAAAGACTGATGAGTCACTCATCGATTTTTCTGGGTTTCTGGTTTTTTTTTTTTGGATGAAGAAATCGTATGGATTAATCTATACTGTTAATTGAGAAGCACTCACATATATAAATAAATCATCCTAAAAAAAAAAAAAAAATTCATCCTAAAATTAAAAGCAGTCACAAAATAAGCTTAACAATAAACAAATGACATAAAAATGATTAGAAAGTGAAACAATGCATAATCCTGTCAAGCTTTGTGACACATTCATTCATGATCAAACAGTAACAGCAAGAACTTTCTCTAAAACGCATGTTGAAGGTACGGTAAGCACATGACCAAACCACTCAACTTCTCCCCAAATTTCACAATTTTGTCGTCTTTCAAGCGCAATCTCCGCACACCAAATCTTATTCTTCTTGCCGCCACTATAAGATGATTCATCGACCCATAGAACCGCTATCTTTCCACCATAATCAGCCAATTTAATACAAGCATCATGAGAGAACTTAGGTAGCTTTACCAAACCCTTCAACCTGCTCCACAATCTTACCTTAGTGTCATACCATTTTATCGCTCCGTGAAGAACACAGTACAAGACGTTGTCTATCTCGCAATGAGAACTGGAAAACTTAAAACATTCCATGTTTTGTTCAACCATGTCCCATCTACCTTCCTTGCAATTGTAAGCAATCACAGCACCCATGGGACTCACCACACCATGCCTGTCAGCCACCACGTGGAGCTTTCCGTCAATACATGTGCTTTTGGACCATAAAAAGATGCCTTTTGTCTTGCTGCAAGGGATAGACGACTCAGGATCCCAAGTTTGTGTTTTTGTGTCAAACACCTCAAACAAGTTCTCCAAGGACTCTTTACTTCCTGCTACATATATCTTTCCATCAAGGACGCTAGCAGAAAGTCTCATTGGCTCCACCGGCAAGCTTGGAGCCTCGCGCCATGTGTGAGACATGCAATCCAGAATCCAGACGCTAGAGGAGGGCGGCGTTTCGTAGATTTTTCTGCATCCGCCAATGTTGTAGATATCAGAACCAACAGCCACGAGACCTGACAAGTGCGCACGAGGAGAATGGGGGATTGGGACTGTTGCCAAAACATACCCACTTGACTTCTTTTTCTTCTTACTGGTTAGGGTTTGATGAGGTTTCCGGCAGAGGGTGAACCAGCTATTGCTTTTAAAAGGTGTCAACCTTAAGCAAACATAGAGACAACTCTCCGTGCGTCCCAAGAGTGATCTAGCCTTGTAAAGCTCCGGTGAAGCCAGGAGTGATCGAAAGCTCTTGGAGACGAGAGAGAGAGTCGGATAGTACAATCTTGAGACCCGTGCCACACAACTCAATATCAAATCATCGGGAAGTGACGAAATTAGGATCGATTGCTGCGTAACCGACGGCTTTAGCTTCTTCTTTATCATCTTCTTCTCTTTCATCGTTACATTTCTCTTCCTCTTCTTTTCCGGTGACATTGACGGTGTCAGAGACAGCGACGCCTTCTTCTTCGTACTGGTTTTCTGACTTTCTCTTATACGGCATGACATATATACTCGACGGCATATATAAACCTAGCGAGCATGTCATATAATTTTGGGTTCGGATAAATGAATCCTGGTTTAGTTTGGATCGGTCGGTTCAGTTAGATATTTTCGCCAACCCTTAAAAACAAGAAAGCAACAATTTGGTCTAGCAAAACTACTTAGGGTAATAATACTATTGCCCATCAATGAGTACAACAACAAAGCCAATGATCTGTTCAAGCAGGTAATAAAAATCTTAGGGTTGTTTGCTTCCTACACACGAATACTAAAGACAACAGGTTTAATCCATGATTTATTTAAAAATCTTTTTGCGCCTTTAAAAAGAAACTACGAGAAAATAAGATTAAGGTTCACCTAACTAACAGAGACTTTGAGAGAAGAGAGAAAAAGGTAAGAAGGGAAGAGAGAACACACCGTTTAGTTCACACTTAACTATATATTGTTTCATATTATTTGACCCTTCTTTTCACTTGAATATAAAATCAGAGTTCTCATCTTCACAGGTGAAAAAATAAGTTCTTGAAAAGCCAATAAATCGATTTACAAATTAGAATGAAGTAAAAAAAAATGTCAAACTCCTATGGGTGTCTCATCAATATAATATTTATATTTTTATATTAAATTTAATTTTTCAATAATATTTTGAAACATATCAAATTATATCTTAAATATAGTCATTCAAACTAAATAATTCTATTTTTTTTATAGAAATAAATCATATAATGAATATTAATAATTTTAAAAACATTAATTAATAGTACTATTAATTATAAATAATATATTAAAGAGACTATTATTTTTAAAATCACAATTAAACATAAATTAAACTTTAGACTACATATAAAACCATAATAAAGATATATAAATTAAACACAAAATTACATGTAAAAAATATGATTAAAATTACACATCATTTTATCAAATAGATTTTACTTATATTAGACATTTTGTAAATAATGACAAAAGATAACACATTATTTATCAAAATGTTGACAAAATATCAGATTATTCATCTCAGATTTATTTTCTAATATTATAGTATTTTATTAACTAAAAATATTAACATATAATTTAAAATTTTGTATAATGGAGCTTGATATATAGATTATTTTATTTTATGAATTTTAGAAAAATAAAAAATAATAACCTATAAACTATTTAATTGATATTATAAATCTTAGAGTAATTGAATTTAAAAATAAATTGTTAAACCAATCAAAGAGTGACATGTGTATGAGAGAGAGGGTGTCTCAATGTTTCTCAAATGAGAAACGTGTCTCAGCTTTTTTGATTAAAAAATTATTTTTTATTTATTTTTGATTTATTTTTAATATAGATGTCTCATGGAGACACTACCAATGGAACTGCTCTTACGTTTCAGCTGCATTGATTAGATGAATCGCGTACCTATTTAGATCTATTTTTAGGTCTATTTTTTATTTATACGAGGGGAAAGTTTAAATTGAGAAACTTTTTAAATTATTATTTTTGTGTTTGTGATTTTGGATTTGTATTTTATGTTTGTAATAATTTTGTTAAGTTGTTTTGGTTAAAAGAAAAATAATCTTTATTGTAACGGATTTTTTTTTTTTTCTGTTACTCATGATATTGAAATTGAGTACGCTGATAGATCCATATTTCTCAATCAGCACAATGCAACAAACTAATAAACCCAAAAAAAAAAATCTAATTAAGCCTCTAGGAAGGTTTCCTAGAGGCTTAATAGTCGAGCTGATTGTTTAGTTAAAAAAGTTCGGGCTCGTAGTAGCCTTTTTTCCCATGTAAGCACATCGGTTCCTAATTAGCTCTTCCTAGCGGAGACTCTCCGATTTCTTAATATAAATGGTATTTGATGAAAAAAAAAAAAGGCTTAATTTTTTGGTCATACCGATGGTTTTTCTATTTTTTTTTGTAAAAATCTCGCATTTACCATAATCAAGAAAAGAGTCTTCTTCTTGAAACTCATCATCATCACAAGAAATCTCCTCATCGATTCTTCCCATCACAACAACGCATCTATAGTTCCTCCGATGATCCAACGACAATGATTGTCTCATTGCCAACTCTTGAACATGTGCCGTTGACGTCAAGGTAAAGCTCCGGGGAAGGACGGTGCTAGGCGGATCACATATTTGGAAGTTTCCGGAGCGCTGACCAAAACCGGAGGATCCACCACCGGTAAGGATTCCGGCGCGGGAGCATGACGTAATGCTACGTATATAGGCGTCACGTGCCATGATCAAGAAACGAAAAGGAGCCTTAACCAACCATACGAAGCAGTTGTCTTTCTCTATGCCTTTCCCTTTCATTATTGGATTCTCAAAGAGTATCCAAATCAAAGTTATATACATATCTATATATAATAATATTTGAGAAGTGTTTTTGCTGACGTGTCGGACTCTCGGCTCTTGTTGAGTCATTAATTTTACGTAATTACTTAATTATCCTTAATGAAATCTATAACAATATTTGAGAAGTGTTTTTGCTGACGTGTCGGACTCTCGGCTCTTGTTGAGTCATTAATTTTACGTAATTACTTAATTATCCTTAATGAAATCTAATTAATTTTGGAAAAATTAAATTGAATTTTGGAATTAACCAGGAAAAAATAATTTTGGAAACAATTAACATGATAATTAACCAAAAAAAAAAAAACAGGTGATCTTATAGTTTATATGTACAAATTTGATTATTTTTTTTTGTATTTATGGTTTCACTATTTTCACCACTAATCAATTTTTATAATCAAAAAGTTTGGTTTCAACTTTTGAGAAGGTAATCATCGATGGTTTGGTATGTTTCTTTTTGCACATAATAGCAATTAGATCGAGTTTTGGAAAAAAATATGGATCAGCGTGACATGACGCATATGGATACCATGCATGTCTATCTATTGTAAATCAAAAATTATATTATTGTTCCGCCTTATTTTTGAAACAGAAAGAAATTTTCCCTTAAATTTTAATATATTTTATAAGATAGTATCAGATATAGTAGTAAATCTAAAATAGTTGTTATTATTCCATATTTTTACGGAAAAAATTAAATATTATTTTAAATAATCATGGATAACAATGAATAAATGGCAGTTTTACAAATATTTATGATTATGATAGTGATTTGCTTATTAAAATATGTAAATTTTCTTTTCTTTTTTTGTATTTATCGTCGAAAAATTTAGAAACCCTAAATCATGCACCGCCTCCTATTCAATATAAATACCTTGCTCATGGTATTCAATTTCAGATCATAACTAACCCTTGTTTTTTTTTGTTCTTTTTTTTCAAACTTTTTTTTGCTTCTACCTAATTTTAATTTTTCTTTTTTATTGTAGGGTGGATGTATGGAGGGGACGATGTGAACTGGTGTATGGAAAATTTGGACCTAATTCAATGAATAAACAGGTGATCTTATAGTTTATATGTACAAATTTGATTATTTTTTTTTGTATTTATGGTTTCACTATTTTCACCACTAATCAATTTTTATAATCAAAAAGTTTGGTTTCAACTTTTGAGAAGGTAATCATCGATGGTTTGGTATGTTTCTTTTTGTTGTAAAAAGATGAGGTACCTCCCGATTTTGTTGAGGTACATGTTCTTATTATTTTCAAATATGTCTTTTTTCAAAAGAAACACTCAACTGTTGATAACACAGTTGCCACAAAGTCAGAAAGATGACTTATTTCAGGGATGAATTTTCAGAGGAGGCTAATTTTTGTCGTTAATACAATTTAAGTATTCCTCTCTTTAGATTAGGGATAACAAACTTGGCTGTTAAATTCAGGAATTACTCTTCGTTGCCAATCTCTCTCCCCAAACTAAAATATTACATATATGGAAGTAGTAACTTAAAGTTTTTGGTATCGAGGTCATTCTAAGGCACTGAGATTCGGACTTTGGTATGTATAGGATTCGTTTTCCATGCACTAAGATTTAATTATTGTTTAATTTATTGGTTTTTAGGTTTCTTTCCATGCTCTGATGCGTTTTCGGGTGTGCCAATGGAAGCTTGCATCACTCTTTACTCCAAGCGTAAGTATGCTCTGCATTAGCTTCTTCTGTTCCATTGGTTATTATGGGTTTTGACTTTTGAGAAATATACAACAATTTAAAATCAGGTTTTGTTGTTGATTGGTTCGGTTTGTATACCATATTTTGCTAAATACATATGACCATAAATAAGACCAAAGGAGCTGGGTTAGCTCCTTTGCCAGCTAGGTTGACTTCGTCTCCTCCCCGTCTTGCGGATTTCCGTTATTCAACGGGTATATTTGAGAAGTATACGGTACTAAAACCACAACCATTGATCTTAGCTTGATCGGTTCTTCCCTAGGATTTATACATAAAAGTAAATTGTTTTGTTTAATAATTTTCCATTGTATGAACTTTCGAGACAACAAGTGGACAGGAGTGTAATGTCATCAAAAGTCAAATCAAACACTGTGAGGAACATAATAGACAACGTTGGCTTCTTTCGCAGCTGCTCAACGTTGTCTCTCCCGATGGTCCCAACACTCTCTTCTTCTTTTTTTGTCAACATTCAAACGTTGTTTAAAATAAATAAAAATGTTTAACCTTAATCATCTTTCTAGATCTTTAAATGCCTAAAACTTCAACTTAATCAGTCAGCAATCCGTCACGTTAATGATTTTGAAAGGAAGACTTTTGTTTTGTTTCGGTTAGTTTTGTTTGTTTAGTATTTTAATCACAAGATAACTCTAATTTCCCATTAGAGTTGTGTTAATTGTGTTGATTATGATTTGGCGTTCCAATTCTGATATTATTTTTATGTTGTAAATCATAAACTGTTACGTTATTGTTCTATCTTCCTATGTGAGAAAAAAGTAAAATGTTTTAAAATTTTGACATGGATAATAATATAATTGTAAATCTATAATATTTATATTATCATTTTATTTATATTTTTCAAAAAGAAATATATTTATCTTAATAGATTTAATATGATAATGTCAAATATAGTTATAAATCTAAAAGAGTTATGTTATTATTTCATCATTTTATGAGAAAAAAGCAGATATTCTCTTAAACTTTTAAATTAACGTGGATAATAATAAATAAATGATAATTTTACTAATATGATAATGATTCGGTTTTAATCTTACCAAAAAACAAATAATGATTCTGTTTTAAAAATATATAAATTTTCTTTGTTTAGTTGTAGATATTGTCATATAAAAAGTTCTTAGATCCTCCACTGCCTTAATTTTATGTAAATACCTTGCTTGATATTTAAATTTTGATTTGATATCATAACTAATCCTTGCTTTTTTTTTCGGCACTAACCATTGAATTTTTTATACTGCCATTTAATTCTTGCTTAAAAAATAATAATTAATAGTAGTGTTTATTATGAATGCAGGTTTGTTTTCCATAAAAACTAGATTGGATTTATGGAAGCACGTCATTGTTTCCAGTGCGAGGAAACAAATGTCGTATCACTGCTGTTGTGGCTCTTTAGTACTTTCGTTTCTGTTTATGGCTTTGCTTCGGTTGTATGGTTAGTCATCAATCATTGATCTTCTCATTGTTTGAATATTGTTGCATAGGAAAAATCTTCTTTTTTTATGAATCTTTCAAAAGTTGGGTCCATGCTATTCTCAGTGATTGATTACGTTTATTGAATATTTGTGTGCTTCCTCTGCTGATATTCTAATTCATGCTTTATTCGTCGTCTTTGATACACTATGATTAACCATTGTGGACCTCTAGAGTCTAATTTGCAATATTAATGCAAGTCTCTTTAACTTACGGATTATGAAGAGCATCCTAAGATCGTTTAATTTGATTCAGGCTTTATGTGGCTAATGTTTGGTCTTGGATGTGAATTAGTCTATCATGTTTCTTGGAAGGTAGGAAGCAATCTTGATGTTTACCAAAATCCAATGTGCTCTTTTGTAGCTCAGTTTTGAAATATGTACTAATTATTGTAGAGGGAACCCGAAACAAAGAGACCATATGTATGATTTTATATGCGAAGAGAAGCTCCGAATTTGAAATCATCTCCACTCCGGTGATATGTGGCCATGGTGTGAAGGAGTCTGGAGCCATGGTTATTTCAGATTCGGACATAACCGTAATTGTTAAACTAATAAAAATAAGATCAAACGTACCGGATTGATGAGAATTTTTGGTGTTCTTCGTCGTATGGATCTAACAAAACAAAAAAAAAAATATATACCCCAGAATTTTTTTTTGTTTGTTAATAGAGAGAACCCACCAATTTTGTAGCATTGATTGTGACATCGAATTGTTTGTCGGATGAATATAAGTCTCTAATCCGGAGACTGAAGTTGAACCCTAACAAAAACATATATTCATAGCCTAAAATTCATAAATAAAAGGTAGAGCATCACATAGCTTTTTCTTCAAAGCCAACACATCTCTCTTTGTAGCCGAATTACTCTCCAGTTTGGTATATACTCAAATTTTCCAATGACTTCTTTCTCGAACCTGGAGCGTTTTTGCTTTGCCGGATATTTTTAGGATATGGCTCTTATGTATCTCTTGTGAGTCACTTGATATGTTGTTTAGGTAAAACTTTTGGTTTGAAAGAGAATGATCTACGACAAGCATAATCGGTTATTTGTTATATATGTGGCCATGTTCATATTGCTTTCTCCACAAGCAATTTTCCAGTTTTGTAGCATTCGATATTTAAATTTAAAAGCTTCAATACGTTGTATACATGTGTATGTATGTATATATATGAATTATTCTCAGTTGCACATAGTGGTTTCTAAGGGATAGATACTTGCTCTCTGTAACCCTCTCATTTTTAGTACCTATCTTCAGTGTTTACTTTGCTAAGAGCTTCTTGATAGGCATACATCTTTGCAATCTCAGATCAATATACTACAAATACATATACGATACAGTTAAGAAAATGCTATTTCTCTTACAACTTTTTATATGGGTTTTATAAACAAGAGATCACCTGAAGGGTTACGCAGCGACCAATGGCGAAGGTAGAGACAAAGATACTACAATAGGGACGATAAATATGACACGATATATACAAAGGAGATGCCTGTTTCTATACCATTGAAATTTTACGTACATAACTACTTCAAAGAGCAAGATGACTTACTTGATAGGTAAGAGATATGGTAAGAGATTATATTTTTCAATTATTTGTTTCCAACTACGAAAAACTCCAGTGACATACAATCTAAAAGCATGAATATGTCATAAAATCAAGAATACAACAAAAACCAGGAAGATGGGCCCAAATTAAAGTCCGAAACTGGACGTGGGGAACCCACGGACAGTGGCGGTCGGAGCGTTACAAATATGAAAGAAACGAGGAAGCGTGAATATGTCATAAAACCAAGAGTACTACAAAACCAAGAAGATGTGCT